GAAGCTGGGAATTTTGTCTTTCTCAGTACAGTCATAGACCCCATGGCCAGGATTACCGCACGCAGGGCACAGCTTCGAAGGCTTGTGTTCAACACGGTCGGTAGAATCGCGCGCGGTGTGCCCTCTCTGTCCACAAACGACACATTTCTTGCGGTAAGCGTCTTGCACCTCTGCGGGCGCAGTGCAATCGCGCGCGGTGTGCCCTCTCTGCCCACAAACGACACATTTCTTGCGGTAAGCGTCTTGCACCTCTGCGGGCGCAGTGCAATCGACAGCCCAATGATCCAGACTACCGCACAGGTGGCAGGGGTGTTTTAGTTTGACGTGACTCGTGTCACAGTCATATATCCAGTGATCAGGACTACCGCATGCAGGGCACGGATGTCGAGGCTTATACTGTGCTCGGTTGGGACAATCGCGTCCCGGATGTCCCTTCTCCTTACAAACGGGACATCCCCTGCGATATGCCTTGCGCACTTGGTAGGGCGCAGTGCAATCGACAGACCAATGATCCAAGCTACCGCATCGGTCGCAATGGGCGTTTGGTTTGATGTGAGCTCTGTCGGGACAGTGGTGTATCGGATGATTCGGACTACCACACGCAAGGCACGGGTCCGAAGGCTTATGTTGTGCTTCGTTGCGAGCTTTATTTTCGGCCACGATGACGCCAGAGACGGCATCGAGCGTGGTCTCTTCGGTGGAGATATTCTCTGCGGGGGCAGAGGCAGGAGCTGTAGATAATGACAGAGGTGGCGAATGAGCAGCGGGAGGTGATTGAGCTGGATTTGAATCAACGGACAATCCTGAATGATGATCCAATTACATCCATAGGAGCAACTGAAAACTCTCCGCAGATGAGTATAGCTCACCAGAAGACGACGGGCTGTTCCCTCTCTCACTCAAAGAGCTCGCAGAACCCGAAGTTACAGCTAAGCCTTCCGCACTATGTGAAGCGGCCTCCGCGTCAGAGTGACTGCAGACGGCATTTGCTGTGTCGCTATTATCAGCGCCAACTTGGCCTTTAGGTGGGTACTGTTCGTTCCGTACGCGTCCTGAAGACAGATGACGGATGTATGTATGCTCGCTGCTCCACGAGCTCGGGACATGGCTGTAAGATCGAGTGAAAGAGAGCGGTGGACGCGTTACCGGGAAACAGCTACGGCCAAGACATAGAACACGCCCATGTGGTGGTCTGACGGAGGCCACAGCACGCAGGGGAGACGACATGTGGGCACCAGCGCAAATAACGAAGCTTTACCAGGTGGAGGTGAGCTCGCGCAGGTCCAAAAAAGGTTTTATGTATACATAATAATTAAGTATGTAAGAAACACAGACAAAATCTACCGCAGATTCCTCCCCATCCGTCTCCTCGGATGGCGTGCCACATCCAGGCTCCTCCTTGCCGTGCCACCTCTTCTATGAGTTTGGGGAGGGGGCCTCAATACAATCCTATGAATTCTGATCGGTGTCGATGAGACTTCCTGCTTTGCCTCATCATGCCATACGTTTTGTATACGAAGAAGTCATTCCACCAACAAAGCTCCTTTTTTATCATCTACCGGAACGCGTAACATCAAGATGGTTACACAACGGTCCAAGGAGGCGCTAGATGAAAGGCAACTCGTCGCAAGGTCTAACATAGCCGTGCCGTTCACCGGTCTTGCGGTATTTCTTGTGAAAGTATTGCGTGGTTGTACGTCTGCGTGGAAACGAAGGAGAGGAAGGGTCGAATGAATGTGGAGACACTCTTCAGTTGGCTTGATCCGCGAGAGTAATCGCCGGTTCCGCGATGTTTATGATCAGCGCCTGCCCATGCCATGCCGTCCTCCTTAATGCGCGCCTTCACTCATTTGAAGGTGGGGTTTGCGCCCGCTTGGGGCAGTCAATCTTCCAATGATCAGGACTCCCACACGTAGGGCACGGATTAAGAGGCTTGTGCTATGAACGGTTCGGACAATCGCCCGCAGCATGTCCCCTCTGCCTACAAATGATACATTTCACGTAGGCCTTCCGTTCCTCCATGGGCGCAGTGCAATCGACATCCCAATGATTCCAACGGCCGCACTGGCGGCAGGGGTGTTTTGGTTTGATGTGACTCCTGTCAGGACAGTCGTATATCCAGTGATCAGGACTACCGCACGCAGTGCACGGCTTCGGAGGCTTATGCTGCGCTCGGTTGGGACAATCGCGCGTAGAATGTTCCTTCTCCCCACAAACGATACATCCCCTGCGATGTGCCTTCGTAATGGGTGCAATGCAATCGACCTTCCAATGATCCATGCTACCGCACAGGGGGCAGGGACTTTTTGGTTTGATGTGAGCCTTGTCAGGACAGTCAACCATCCGGTGATCAGAACTACCGCAGGCAGGACACGGCCTCGAAGGTTTATGCCGTGCTCCCTTGGAAGCTTTATTTTTGGTCATGATAACGTCGGACACCGCATCGACCGTGGCCTTTCCAGCCGGACTGTTCTCCGTAATAGCAGAACTAGCGTCTGCGTCTGGGGCTGCAGAAGATGAAAAACGAGACGACGGTGCAATAGTAGATGGTTGACCTGGGTTGGAGTCAACGGATAGGCCTGGACGAGACAGCGATAGTCAGATTAGGTCCGCAAGAATTTCTATGCTTACTACTCTACAGAGGAATTTGCTCACCAGAAGACAACGGACTGGTCCCTCCATTGCTTGTAGAGCTCGCAGAGTCAGCAGACACCGCTGAGCTGTCGGCACTCTGCGAAGCGGCCTCCGTCTCAGAGTGACTGCAGACGGCATTTGCTGCGTCGCTATCGTCAGCATCCGCTTGGGCTTTAGGCGAGTTCTGTTCATTTCGTATGCGTCCTGAAGATAGATGTCGGAGTCCAAGAATGTGTGTGTGCTCGCTGCTCCACGAGCTCGGGACATGGCTGTAAGATCGGGTGAAAGAGAGCGGTGTATGCGTCACTGGGAAACAGCTACGGCCGAGAAATAGAAAACGCCCATGTAGCGGTCCGACGGCGACCACAGCACGCAGGGAAGACGACATGTGTGCACCAGCGTAAACACAAAGCTTTGCCAGGACAGACTGCACCAGGAAGGTCTGTCGTGATCAGGCGCCGGATGGCGCGGGTCGGGGAAAAAGGTTTTATGTATGTACATAATAAGTATTGTAAGAAGCCTGAGAGACAGAATCTATCTCCGAAGAGGAGTGGCCGTTGCGCCACATGGAGGCTCCGCCTTGCCATCCGCTTCTGGGAGTTTGGGGGTCAATACAATCCTATGGATGAGATCTGAGACTTAGTGTTTTGCTTCATCATGCCTAGGCAACGCTTCAGCCACAATTTCCGAACTCGGCAGTCTTGTCTGCCCTCACTGGGCCCTGCGTCTTTAACCGCAGTGTCGATTATTTAGTACGCACACCAAAGTGAGCCATTCGCATATCTAATCGCTTTGTATACGAGGTTATTCCAGCAACAAAGCTCATTATGCTCATCTACGTGAACGCATAGCATCAAGATTGTTACAGATCGTTCAAAAAGATGCTGGAGACAAAGGAAATAGTCGCGACATCTAATATAGCCGCGCCGTTTGCCGTCGTCTTGTACTTTTCTTCTGGGAGTATTGCGTGTTTGTACGTCTGCGTGGAAAGGAAGGAGAAGGGGATTTGCCGAATGAATGTGGAAACACTCTTCAATTGGCTTGGTTGACGACAGTAATCGCTAGGTTTCGCTAATGTTTTTGGTCAGCGCCATCCGACACCTACCCGTGTGATGTCGATCTCCGCAATGCGCACCTAGCCTCATTTGGAGGCGGGGTTTGCGCCCACATTGAGGCAGTCATACTTCCAATGATTAGGACTACAGCACCCGGGGCACGGACTCGGTAGGCTTGTGCTGTGCACGGTCGGGACAATGGCCCGCAACATGTCCCCTCTGCCCACAAATGGTGCATTTCATGTAATAGGCCCTCCGTTCCTCCACGGGCGCAGTGCAGTCGAACTCCCAATGATCCAGACTGCCGCACTGGCGGCAGGGGCGTTTTGGTTTGATGTGAGTTCTGTCAGGGCAGTCATACATCCAGTGATCAGGGCTACCGCACACAGGGCACGGCTTCAGAGGCTTATGCTGTGCTCGATTGGGACAATCGCGAGTAAGGTGTTCCTGCTCCCCACAAATGGTGCATCCCTGGTAGGCCTTCCGCACTTTTCTGCTTGAGGTGCAATCGACCTTCCAATGATCCATGCTACCGCACAGGGAGCAAGGGTGATCTGGTTTGATGTGATTTCTATCAGGACAATCAATCATCCAGTGATCAGGACTACCACACGCAGCGCACGGCCTCGAAGGTTTATGCTGCGCTCGGTTGGGACAATCGCGCTCCAGATGTTCCTGCTCCCCACAAATGTTACACTTCCTGGGACGGATTTCCCGCACTGCTTTGGGCCTAGTGCAATCAATCTTCCAATGATCCATACTACCGCACAGGGGGCAGGGGCGTTCTGGTTTGATGCGAGTTCTGTCGGGACAGTCATATATCCAGTGATCAGGGCTACCGCACACAGCGCACGGCCTCGAAGGTTTATGCTGCGCTCGGTTGGGACAATCGCGCTCCAGATGTTCCTGCTCCCCACAAATGTTACACATCCTGGGACGGGCATTCCGCACTGCTTTGGGCTCAGTGCAGTCGACAATCCAATGATCCCAGCTACCGCATCGGCGGCAACGGATGTTTGGTTTGATGTGACTCCTGGCAGGACAGTCAACCATCCAGTGATCAGAACTACCGCAGGCAGGGCACGGCCTCGAAGGCTTATGCTGTGCTCCCTTGGAAGCTTTATTTTTGGCCATGTTAACGTCGGAGACCACGTCGACCGTGGTCTTTCCAGCCGGGCTGTTTGCTGTGATAGCAGGGCTAGCGTCACTGTCTGGGGCCGCCGAAGATGAAAGACGAGACGACGGTGCAATGGTAGATAGTTGGTCCGCGTTGGAGTCAACGGACAAGCCTGGATGAAACAGCGATAGTCAGATTACGTCCGCGAGAGTCCTATGCTTGCTGCATGGAGGAATTTTCTCACCTGAAGGCAGCGGGCTGATCCCTCCATTGCTCATAGAGCTCGCAGAGTCAGGAAGTACCGCTGAACTGTCGGCACTATCTGAAGCGGCCTCCGCATCAGAGTGACCGCAGGCAGCATCCGCTGCATTGCTATCGTCAGCACCAGCTTGGCTCTTAGGCGGGTACTGTTCATTCCGTACGCGCCCTGAAGACAGATGACGGAGTCCAGTAATGTGTGTATGCTCGCTGCTCAACGAGCTCGGGACATGGCTGTAAGGTCGGGCGAAGGAGAGTGTTGTACGCGTGATCGGAAAACAGCTACGACCGAGAAATAGAACACGCCCATGTAGCGGTCCGGCGGCGGCCACAGCACGCAGGGAAGACGACATGTGTGCACTAGCGTTGACGGGAGAGACTGCACCAGGTGGAGGAGCTGCCGAGTGCGGTTTATTTAAAAAAATGAATTTGCGCTATAGTGTTCGAATTAATGTTAATACTTTTACGTGTTTTATATGTACATAAAGTTACCATAAATGGATTAGAAATTCGCTGGAGTTCTATACCGAATCGAACGAGGCTCAGGTTGTGCTCGGGATGGTGTTGCTTTATGTTAAGTGACGCTCGCTTCGTACATATTGCGCTCACCAGTAGCCGGAATGAACTCGTAGAGCTACAAGGCTCTGCATGTACATAATCCATACAGCTTGGAACGCGGGTCCGCTCAAGAACCCCAAAGAAGATTGTTGATCTCTTGTGCAGCGCTGCTCAGCCTTCCTGTGCTTTGCAACTCCTCTTTCAAGCTAATTTTCTCCGTTTCGATGTCCTCTTTCATGTGCTGCTCATTTGTCGTGCCGGATAGAGGCATAATGCCGTGGGACTGGGCAAGCCGGAAAAGTGCCTGGGCTGGCGTACAGTTCCTCTCACGGGCGATCAAACGGAGGCACGGATGCGCGAGCAGGGTTGGGGAGCCGGACAAGGTCCAGAACGACCTACACAATGCTTATGGATTTATGATATTATTCTTGGAGGTAACAGCATACCGGAAACACGTACTGATACTGAATCCCTCGCTTCCTGCAGTAGCTGCAGACTTCTGGATCCCATTGATTGCCTTCATACCACCGATTCTGAACCACCTGGACCGGCCTACCCGTTTGTTTCTCCAACATCTCAATGATGTTCACGTCATATGTGTTGCTGACGCCGATTATCTTGACGGTTCCAGCGTTCTGTAGTTTTATCAGAACCCGCCATGCGGTAATGGTGTCTTCGAGGCGCCCAAACGGCGAATGGAGGAGGAGGCTGTCCAGGTATGTGGTATGGAGGTTCCGCATCGACGTTTGCACCGACGTCTCTATCTGAGTTGCGATGTCGTCGCGAGAGTTGTATGGGAGTGGTCGACTGCGGTCTTGGCCACTGAGCGTCGTGTACCTACACGATGAGCTACAACACACCGCTGAAATGTCCGAGACTCACTTCGTCTGTATGAAGAGGTCCTCACGCCGAATGCCGTGTTTCTCCTGCAATAACCTCAGTGCTTCTCCGACTAGGTCCTCGCTGCGTGGATGTCACATCTCTGTCCAGAGAGTTGGCGTCCAACCGTACCGATAATGTTTTGGTTGCGCCGCTGGCATCTTAAACATCAATGTTCCTCGTCGTAGTCTCTATAGCATGCGCAGTCATCCTCACCGGTGTCGATTGCCCGGAAACCATTAAGTACGGCGCACACGACGAGAGCCGTTGTGCGCTCCTTCTTCCTAAATGCGGAGCGTCATCCCGATGTACAGTTCTGATGTATTCGCAACATACCAAGCTGTGCCATATATGATCTTGCACGAAGTCATGAAGCTCTGCCGTCGAGACGAGTGATGAGTGCGATGGTTTGGCTTGGATTGGACGCGCGTCCGCTGCGTCCGCGTGCTCCAGCCAAGCAAACAACCGACAACAGCTGATTTTAACGGCGATTCTGAGCGACTCAAAATGAGTTTCTCCTTGTGCACGACCTCTCTATCGTCGCTCATGGTCGCAATGACCACATGCAATTTCTTCTTGATCCATCGTATCCTGCAGATTCTGTATTTCGGCTATCTCACTGAATGGGTTGCATCGCAAATGAGTGTCATGCCCGCTACAGAGTCGATCTGAGCTTTTCAGCAGCCGCCTGGCAGTTGCACCTAGCTCTACGAGGCCGTCGTTGCCCCTTACGATGAAGGTCATCTGAGATAAGATCCCGGAAATCGCGCAAGTTCGCCGCTGCGAGTTGAACCGCTGTTGTGAAGGGTTGCTCTGCCGTAATATGTCCGTTTATGTGGAGGTAGGTGGAGAATTATCTGGGCGATTGGCCGTTTTTTTAATCTTTTCTTCGGTTGGGATGGTCAGAGTGTCTATCCGTTGTTTGCTGCCGCTGAAAGTGCATCGACTGCCTCCACTTCATCATTGCGAAGATATGGATTCACCGAAGCTGCGAATTTTCCAGATTGTCTAGCGCAGCGATATTTGGCACAATTGTATGAGTGTCCTCCTGTGGAACGTTGAGACAATATCTTTCCAGTCGACCAGGTCCCCAAGTAACTCACTGTGCATTTCAGGGGCAAGCCCACGCCGTAGGTTCATCATTCATCACGGTCATCATCTAAGCATATTGGCAGTTCATTTCGACACCTGGTAGCACGTTGAAAGCTTGCAAGGCTATCAATTCAGGCGACCTCGAGTTTTGGTCCCGGAGTGTGCGCAGGCGCGTAAACCTTGGCGTTCGTTCTTACCTGATCGGATTAATTGTGTCTGCTGTGTTTGGTGTTTGTGGGTCCATGAGCGCTTCTCACTGATCGGTCGTGATCTGATTGGTCCAATGTCTCAGTTTGTGGTCATTTGTGTCTTCTTGTGTCACATTCATTTGAAACGCGGGTGCGACAAACAGTAGGATCGCTCGGACGTGAACGTTGAACGTTGATCTGACGGTACAGAGCTGTGCGTTGAAATACTGTTGCGATTAACGCTGATATGTCAAGCTATCTAGTTCGACCACTCATCCTGTGGAGTGCACATCAAGCCGCCAGCTGTTCAGTCGTCCAAGCGTTAGCATTGGAGAGGGCGAAGATCTCACAAAGATTCAGCAACAAACTGATATCTATCACCCCGCGTGATTTAAGAGGTGATACGGCTGTCTCAGCCGAGGGCATCGCCGGGGTATAGCCTCCAGTCCGACAGCAGCCTTGATGATAGTCATGGTCGATTCATTCATGTCAGGTACGTTAGTGTGCGCTGCAAATCCGCGATCGAGTCATGAGCCTTTAATATGCTTCGGGGAATTCATCAATCTTTTTAATGTCGGTGAATGATGACTGGTCAAGGTCCTTATCTGCCTGACGTTGCGGCTTCATATTTTGTAGGGAACAGAAGGAGCGGGCGATTACAACATGGCCGGTGTGCGCTGCTCACAAGCGCAGGACTCCTGGAGCTCTGACAGGAAGATTGCGATGCTAACGCTAGCCCAATTGTCCTGATTCACTGCCCACTGCCTCATCCGTTTCGTTCAAACACTCGGTTGCTATGGACATATCACTGGACGTTGCATCCTTTCTCGGTAGTCCTTGTTGTATATTCAGGCTCGACTCGTCAGTGCCATTCGTGGGATCGAGGAGTGCATAAACGATACCTCCTTGATCTCGTGATTGTAGGACGAATCTATTGCTGCGCGAGCGAAAATACAACAACGCCACGAAAATGGTGAATGGCGCTGCGCATAATCGGAGCACATGGAGCGCATATCACAGACAATGGGAATATTAGAGGGCGACCCATCGAGGCAGTGGCATGAGGTTCACTGTCTGTGCCACAGGAACCTCGTTAAAGTTTGGCAAGCAAAAGACACGTTTTTGAGCGGCTCTTACGCCACTTGCTCGGTAAGCCGAGCGACTTGTCTCAAATACGCTTCCGTGCTGCGTGAAGGCTTTTCGTTGCTTGATGAAGCGTGGAAGCATCTCAAGCTACTGTAGCTTGAGTTCGGCCGGCACCTGCTCCATCCGTCGCACTCAGTTGGTGCGTTGCACCGCGTAGATTGCTAGGATCTCATACGCCCACACAGCGAGCAGATGTCCCTGACCTGGGTCACCATGACATCTGACATTCGGAAGCTGTCATCGGCCCTCAATTGCATCGATGAGTTGCGCCGCTTGTTGTTCTATGCTATCCATAGCTGATCTTGAGCAGGTTAGCAACTTGATGCAGTAGGCTCGAGGGTCCGGAAGCGTTCCAGGCCTGTTTTGTGAGCTTACCGAGTCGCCGGCTGTCAAATAAGGTTTTGCTCACCTTTGCATTTTTTGTAATGAAGATTTCCCGAAGCAAGACTGCACGAGCACGTCCACCTGCCGAAGCAGCCAAGTCGACATCATGGCATCACATGCGCTTGACAGACCGTTCGCTAAGCGAAACTTCCCCTCCCCCTCGTCCTGGAGCAAGGACAGTGAGGACGGTCACAGCTCTGTCACGATACCGCACTTACCTGACGGGTCGTCAGTACTAACCGCGTTGCTACGTACCGACGATAACGATATTTAAACAAGGAGAGAGATCGCTTGCTGCCTACAATGCAAAACGAGAACGTGGCATGGATCTGGTTACCCCTGGACTCTGGAGCGAGAACAACAGCCTTCCTCGCCGCAATTGACAGCTCTGTGCCGATGCAAGCGAGATTAAGTCGGAAAGTGGGTTGTTCATGCGCCCCAAGGTCGAGCCATACCGTCAGACATCGAGACTATTGTGAACGACGAGCGTCTCGGTGATATCACAAAGCCTAAGGTCCGATCAACGCCTTAGCGGACATGAGGCCCTAAGTTTCAGTAGTCAAAATGCGGGACTTCAGCGTCTCGAAGGGGCCGAGGCTAAGAAAGCTGGTAGCGGAAACGAATCTTGTGAAGCCCTCATGGACTTTCCCGCGTGACGACCAGTCACGACCGCCGCAGGTCAGCGGTCACGGTACTTTGGTTTGCGCAGTTACACGCGTAGCAGTGTTGCGTCACCATGTGCTGAGGATCTGACCGTGTGTTCGGGAAGAACTTGCAACCTGGGAGTCCCAATATCGTAGATTGTGCGAACGAGTGTAAAGAGTGTTTGAATCGTTCCCATCATACAGTTACGATAAAAAAATAATTTCAGTCAAGATGCGTGTGACTGAAGCGGGGCCATACAGGCAGGAGCATTAGGAAGAGAAGTCAGTTGAGCATAAGCAAGAAGAACGGTGACAAGCTCCGGCCACGATATAGGTATAATCAGACGCTTGATCTGAAGTCGAAGTCTGCGGTGAACCTCCGAGAAAGTTAAACAGATTCGTTGGGCGTATTGCGAGAAATCATAGTAGGGACCGGGGGACGGTTCATTACAATATACCCAATAGTTCTAAGAATGTGCCTGATAGTTCGGTATATCTTCATTATCCAGAATTCCTTCCAAGGAACAAGCCGGGAGCGTAGTTTCCAGTACCCAAGCTTTCCACGAAGGTCTGCAAATCGCGTAACAACCTGGTCAATAGTTGGCCTTTTTGCGGGATCGTCATCCACCATGTCATGGACAAGAGGCTGCATGAATTCCACGCCACGGTATGTCTGCACAGGAACCGAATCAACGCAGCACAGAAACGCGGGGACGTCTGACATTACCTTCAAGAAGTCCTCCCTAATCACATTTCCGAGGTAGTAAATATCAGTCGGAAACGGGTCGCAAGGATCGTTGGAACGATGAAATTCGGGAACCGTTTTATCTCCCCCCCAAATAGGGTCCTCTCGAGGAGGACCATCCTCAGGATTGTATTTGCGAGAAAGGCCAAAGTCGATGAAGTAGTACTTTGTTGGCCGCTTGGTACGCGTGAAGAACTTAGCATATCCTTTGAAGTCCAGAGTATATTTCGGCTTCTGAGGATGAAACAGCTTTGGGAAAAGGGGTTTCGGGTCCATCATGATATTGAAGTTCATGCAGTCTCTGGCGCAAAGCGTTAGACAGGCGGACAACTTAGACAACAAGCTGGACAAACCGATGAGCTACATGATTCTCATGCATGAACTGCAGACCCTACATAAATGAAACTCGCATTAATCGTATGCGTATCGCAGTCGGCGTTAGACTTACCTCGAAGATTTGGTGGAAAAAGTCGACGGCCTCCCCCACAGTTTGCATAGAAGGATCATAGAACCTTCGCAGAAGAGGCATAACGAGGAGCACCCTGTCGCTATTGTCCGGGACTTGCAGTACATCGTAAAGCGGTACGCAGTGGTTGCGAGGGTTGGACATTAGGGGTGCAGAGGAGAACATCTGTGTTACTTCGACCTCATAGGGATGTACTTTTTTGGATATGGACTTGAGCATGACAATCGCCCCGTCCGACGAGCGGGTGGCATCCATAATGTGCCCGTACTGACTATTCTCAGTCAGACTGAGACGAAGAACTCAAGATAGCACGTACATCAGAGACTACGCCGTCCTCTTGATTCCAAAAGAATGCGTCTGTTCCTGCCCAGATTGGTACCCAGCCAGGTCTATACCGAGGACGCAACACATAGCCTTGATCCTTGAGCCACGCGTAATGGTCGCACCAGAAGCGTTCGTCAGGCAACAGCCCGCCATCGGCAATAGGTAAAGCAGGAGGAGCCAGATGCCCTCCCCCGGTAACAGGCGAAGCGGGGGATGACTGATGCCCGCCTTCGGCCACAGGCACCGTAGGCTCAATGTTAGGCCCGCCCTCGGTCACAGACAGCGATAGGGCAGCCTCAGCCTGGTCCTCAGTCTTAGGTAGTGTACGCTCATCCTCACGCCTGCCTTCGGTTGCAGACGACGTAAGGTAAGCATTAGGAAATGACTCGGTCAGCGTAAGGGTAGCCTCAGTCCAATCTTCGCTCGCAAGTAGCTGAGGCTCGTCCTCGGTCGCAGGCGCACGCGAAGCTTTATGGAAGAGCTCAGTCAGTAGCTTCACCCCAGCTCTCGGTCGCAGCCAGCGAAGAGGAAGACTCACGCCTGCCCTCAGCCGCAGCCAGCATAGGGGAAGAGTCGGGCTCGCATTGCAAATCAGTGGGCATGATGGCGTAGACCGTAGCCTGACAGAGAGCGGCGACTTGGACAAGACTTGGTTGGCAGAAGTCAAGCACGTGCTCTGCCGTGATGGGTGGGGTCGAAGTATTATTTGCAAATTATTTGTCTCTGTGGGTGCAGCGCGCGCGGGCGTGTGACGTTAATAGGGTACGATCAAGTTAACCCCCGGCCGGTTTGATCAGTAAAAATATTGTGTCACTCTGTCACAAACTTCAACTTTTCCTTCTTCTACCAGCCTGAACCCGAGATATCCCACGCTAGATATCGGCTCGCGTACCTGGTAGCAAATCTCACAGCCATCCCAGCTTTTCGATTTCAATTGTCTTCTCGTTGGCTCGCGATGGTGCTCGAGCATTGTCTTCTGTCCGGTCCACTGGCGCCATTCTTGAAGAGGAAGCGTTGTGTTGCTTGCGCTGTAAGCGAGATTGCCAACAAGTCATCTCCGGATTGACTGTCGCGCTCTCACTGCAGCAACGTGCCATCGATGGCAACCCACGACAGAAGACCTGCCAAAGTGGTTGATACTGTTATCTAAGGCCTTGCGCATTATTCCATTCGCAGCTACGTCTTCTGCGAATGTACATAAGTACCACGACCTCTACAGCATCTCCCACAATTCTCCTCGCCTGCATACTCACATCTTCAAATCTGGATATGGCTCTCACGGCTACTACTGTCTTTTTTACCGTTGCTGCCGGAACATGTACAATACTGTCTACTACTGCTGGCGCTACCGCAGTTGCTGTGACAGAAGCGTCGAACCCCCGCCTTGAGGAATGTCGTCAAGTTCTGCACGAGACCATGGATATCTTGGATGCGTTAATGAAGGAGAGCGACCTAGATATTTCCGACGAGCTCGTCCGCCTCCTCAGATATAGGCACGAGACGTACGCAATGCAATTCACTGTGATAATGTGTCCTGACCGACCTTTTGCAGGCTCACTGCTACTGTTGGTCGTTTACAGAAATATTGTGCTAAAACACGTTTCTATAATGCGGTGGCCAAGATCACGATCATTTTCGAAACGCGTGCTCTCCACTCTAATTGTGTGGAACTGCGCGGTAAGGTCAAGGTAAATCTTAGTTAACTCGTGTTCAAGAAGTCGTTGACTGGAGCACATCAGAGCACATCGGATATCGCAAGAAATAAGCGCATGGGCAACGGCAGTCTTCGTAAGTGTCACTCTGGTATCTTGAGATGTCAAAAGCTCATAACACCCAGAGCTCCATCGGACGTCATCGAATCACTCTCTGATCACCATTACCTCCCATGACGGCGTACCTGTGGCCGTCGAATCAGACCCCTCCGATATTCCACTCACTGTTCTTCGTGAGTTGGAGGCTATGGACGCGTCTACAGCCGCCGCTGGCGATACCACACTTGCCGTCGTAGCTGAGGAAGCAGCCGAGGGACAAACAGCAGGTAGGTGCAAATGGGACACACTCTCCGCCAGCGGGGTCATTACAACTAATCTGCAACTAGCAGACGAAGTCGACGTTACCGATTCTGATGGCACTTCAAACCATGACGGAAGCCTCACCGTTGTAGGAATCGTTGTCCAGAGCAGTGAGTCTGACGCGACTCCGCATAGCCGTGTTCCGAGTTCTGATAACATCACGTAGATCAAGACCAAGCCGGCAATGTCGAGGTGCCTCCTGGCAGCGGTAAGTACACCACGATGATTTCTCGCCTTTGTCGCTCTAAACACCTCATATCTCTTCAGAACAAAAGGATGTCACCGAAAGTTCTTCTGAGAGCGCCTGACGAGCCGTATTGGTGAGGTGATTGAGTGACGTAGCAGAAGCTGTAACGGATTGCGACGCCAGTAATTGTATTTTTCTTTTCTTTTCTGGGCTAATATGTGGACTGCGGGCAATGTATTGCTCAGTGAAATGTGCCTGGAGATATATTGTGTATGTTTTCTAATTGGCATCGCAGCGGATATTAATTTCAGACGACTCTGAACATAGAGCTCTACACTATGAGCTCGTGCCGGTGAGGGGCAGATAGTGCGAATTGTTTGAGCGATTTCTGGCGGCAGAGAAGCCAAGGCATGGCCAATGTGTGGTCATGCTTGTGTGCAGTAAGTGGCGGTATGCCCTTTTGTGAGGAGCTTTCATGCTGAAGGAGAAGTTCAGCTGGGTTGGCGGACGGCCACGAACGGTACACTTCTGGGCGCGACTAACAGGAGGATCGCTCGGTCCTGAACGTTGCACGTTGAGCTGACGGTAAAGACCTGTACGTTGAATTAGTGCTGCGGTTGTTCACGCTGATATGTCAAGCTATTTAGTTCGACCACTCACCCTGTGAAGTGCACGTCAAGCCGCCAGCTGTTCAGTCGTCCAAGCGTTAGCATTGGAGAGTGTGAAGATCACGCAAAGATTCAGCATGAAACTGATCCCTATCACCCCACATAATCTAAGAGGTGGTACGGCTGTCTCAACCGAGGGCATCGCCGGGGTATAGCCTACAGCCCGACAGGAACCTTGATGATAGTCATGGTCAATTCATTGATGTCAGGCACGTTTGTGTGCGCTGCGAATGCGCGATCGCGTCATTAATGTTTGATATGCTTCGGGGAATTCATCAATTTTTTTAGCGTCGGCGAATGCTGACTGGTCAAGTTCCTTACCTGCCTGACGTTGCCGCTTCATATTTTCTACATAACAGAAGGAGTGGGCGAATACAACATGGCCGGCGTGCGCTGCTCACAAGCGCAGGGCTCCTGCAGCTCTGACAGGAAGGTCATGATGCTAACGCTGGCCCAATTGTCCTGATTTACTGTCCACTGCCCGTGCATCGTCCAAACACTCGGTTGCTATGGATATATCACTGGACGCTGCACACTTTCTCGGCAGTCCTTGTTATATATTTAAGCCGACGCATCAGTGCCATTCGTAGGATCGAGGAACGCATAAACGATACCTCCTTGATCCGATGACTGTAGAACACTGCAGCGAGCAAAGATACAACAACGCCACATAAAATGCTGAACGGCGCTGCACAGGTGGGAGCGGGTGGAAATTTGTTTGTTGTTGCTAAAATTGGCATAAACGGAGCATATGCAGCGTATACCATAGGCAGTGCGAATTCTATAAGGCGAATCGTCAAGGCAGTGGCATGCGATTGACTGTCTGCGCTACAAAAATCTGGTTGAAGTCGGCAAGCAGTTTTCCAGCGGCTATCACGCCACACGCTCGTTTTGCCGAGCGACGTTGTCTCAGATGCGCTTCCCTGCCGCGTGAAGGCTTTTCGCTGCTTGATGGAGCGTGGAAGCACCTCAAACTATTGTAGCTTGAGTTCGGCTGTCGCCCCTCCTTACGCTGCGATGCGCCGAGGATCTCATGCGCCCACACAACGACTCCAGTGTCCCTGACCTGACTCATCATGACATCCAACGGTCGGAAGCTGCCATCGGCCCTCATTTTCATCGATGAATTGCGCTGCGTGTTCTTCTGAGCTATCAGCAGCTGATGATCTTGAGCAAGTTAGCAACCAGGTGCAGAGGGTCGAGGGTCCCGGAAGCATTCCAGGCCTGTTTTGTGAGCTTACCGAGTCGCCGGCACTCAAATAAGGTATTGCTCACCTTTGCGTTTTTTTTGTAACGTTAGTTCTCCGAAGCAAAAATGCACGAGCGCGTCCAACCATCGAAGCAGTCAAGTGGATGAACGTTCGCTAAGCGAACGTCCCCCTCCCCCTCGTCCTTGGAGCAAGGACAGTGAGGACAGACACAGCTCTGTCACGATACCGCATTTACCTGACGTGTCGTCAGTAATAACCGCGTTGCTATGTACCGAAGATACTAACGGTATTTAGACAAGAAGAGAGATCGCTTGCTGTCTACATGCAAAGCGAGAACGTGGCATGGAACTTATTGCCCCTGGAGCGGAAACAACAACCTTCATCGCCGCATTGACAACTCCCTGCCGATGAAAGTGAGATCAAGTCGGAAAGCAGGTCGTTCATGCGCCCCGAGGTCGAGCCATACCCAGACATCGAGACTATTGTGAACGACGAGCGTCTCGATGATATCACAAAGCCTAAGGTCCGATCAACGCCTTAGCGGACATGAGGCCCTAATTTTTTAGTAGTCAAAATGCGGGACTTCAGCGTCTGGAAGGACTCGAAGGGGCCGACGCTAAGAAAGCTGGTAGCGGAAACGAATCTTGTGAAGCCCTCATGCCAGACTTTCCCGCGTGACGACCAGTCACGACCGCCGCAGGTCAGCGGTCACGCTGCACTTTGGTGGTTTGCGCAGTTACACGCGTAGCAGTGTTGCGTCACCATGTGTGCTGAGGATCTGACCGTGTGTTCGGGAAGATCTTGCAACCTGGGAATTCCAATATCGTAGATTGTGCGAACGAGTGTAAAGAGCGTATGAATCGTTCCCATCATATAGTTACGATACAAAATAATTTCAGTCAAGATGCGTGTAACTGAAGCAGGGTCGTACAGGTAGGAGCGTTAGGAAGAGAAGTCAGTTGAGCATAAGCAAGAAGGACGGCGACAAGCTCCGGCCACGATATAGGTATAATCATACGCTTGATTTGAAGTCTGCGGTGAACCTCCGAGAAAATTATGCAGATTCGTTGGGCGTATTGTGAGAAATTATAGTAGGAACCGGGGGACGGTTCAGTACAATATACCCAACAGTTCTAAGGATGTGCCTGATAGTTCGGTATATCTTCATTATCCAGAATTCCTTGCGAGGGACGAGCCGGGAGCGTAGTTTCCAGTACCCAAGATTTCCACGAAGGTCTGCAAATCGCGCAACAACCTGATCAATAGTTGGCCTTTTTGCAGGATCGTCATCCACCATGTCATGGACAAGAGGCTGCATGAATTCCACGCCACGGTACGTCTGCACAGAAACCGAATCAATGCAGCATAGAAACGCGGGGACGTCTGACATTACCTGCAGGAAGTCCTTCCTAATCATATTTCCGAGGTAGTAAATATCGGTCGGAAACGGGTCGCAAGGATCGTCGGAGCGATGAAATTCAGGAACTGTTTTATCTCCCCCCCAAATAGGGTCCTCTCGAGGAGGACCATCCTCAGGATTGTATTTGCGAGAAAGGCCAAAGTCGATGAGGTAGTACTTTGTTGGGCGCTTGGTGCGCGTGAAGTGCTTAGCATATCCTTTGAAGTCCAGCGTATATTTCGGCTTCTGAGGATGGAATAGCTTTGGGAAAAGGGGTTTCGGGTCCATCATGATATTGAAGTTCATGCAGTCTCTAGTGCAATGCGTCAGACAGGCGAGAAGCTTAAAAAACAAGTTGGACAAACCGATGAGCTACATGGTTCTCATGCATGAACCGCAGACCCTACATAAATCAAATTCGCGTTGGACGTGGGCGTAAGGCAGTCGGTATTAGACGTACCTCGAAGATTTGGTGGAAAAAGTCTACGGCCTCCCCCACAGTTTGTATAGAAGGATCGTTGAACCTTCGCAGAAGAGGAATAACGAGGAGCACATTGTCGCTATCGTCCGGGACTTGCAGTACGTCGTAAAGCGGCACGCAATGGTTTCCAGGGTCAGACATTAGGGGTGCAGAGGAGAACATCTGTGTTATTTCGACCTCATAGGGATGTTCTTTTTTGAATATGGACTTGAGAATGACAATCACCCCGTCAGACGAGCGGGTGGCATCCATAACGTGCCCATACTGACTGTTCTCAGTCAGACGGAGACGAAGAACTCAAAATAGCACGTACATCATTAACTACGCCGTCCTCATAATCCCAAAAAAATGCGTCTGTTCCTGCCCAGATTGGTACCCAGCCAGGTCTATACCGAGGACGCAACACATAGCCTTGATCCTTGAGCCACGCGTAATGGTCGCACCAGAAGCGTTCGTCAGGCAACAGCCCGCCATCGGCAATAGGTAAAGCAGGAGGAGCCAGATGCCCTCCCCCGGTAACAGGCGAAGCGGGGGATGACTGATGCCCGCCTTCGGCCACAGGCACCGTAGGCTCAATGTTAGGCCCGCCCTCGGTCACAGACAGCGATAGGGCAGCCTCAGCCTGGTCCTCAGTCTTAGGTAGTGTACGCTCATCCTCACGCCTGCCCTCGGTTGCAGACGACGTAAGGTAAGCATTAGGAAATGACTCGGTCAGCGTAAGGGTAGCCTCAGTCCAATCTTCGCTCGCAAGTAGCTGAGGCTCGTCCTCGGTCGCAGGCGCACGCGAAGCTTTATGCAAGAGCTCGGTTAGTAGCTTCGCCCAAGCCCTCGGTCGCAGCCAGCGAAGGGGAGGACTCACGTCTACCCTCGGCCGCAGCCAGCGTAGGGGAAGAGTCAGGCTCGCAGTGCAAATCGGTAGGCATGATGGCGTAGACAGCCCGACAGAGCTTGAGCGGCGACTCCGACAAGACTTGGTTGGCAAAAGTCAAGCACGTGCTCTGCCGTGATGGGTGGGGTCGAAGTATTATTTGCAAATTATTTGTCTCTGTGGGTGCACCGTACGATCAAATTGGCCCCGGTGTCAAATATTGTGTCACTCTGTCACAAACTTCAACTTTTCCTTCCTCTACCAGGAGCCCGAGATATTCACGCCAGATATCGGCTCGCGTACCTGGTAGCAAGTCTCACAGCCATCCCAGCTTTTCAACTTCAATTGTCTCCTCGCTGAGCGATGATGCGCGGGGGCTTGTATTCTGTCCGGCCCACTGGCGCCATTCTTGCAGAGGAAGCATCGTGTTGCTTGCGCCGTAAACGAGATTGCCAACAAGTCATCTCCGGATTAACGGCCTCGCCCTCACTGCAGCAACGTGCCATCGATGGCAACCCACCACAGAAGACTTGCCAAAGTGGTAGATACTGTTACCTAACGCCTTTCCGTTCGCAGCTACACCTTCTGCGATTGCCGTCTGATGGACGTAGAAAGCACGAGCGCCTAGTACATTGAACGCTCACAAGGCCCTGCATCCCAGAATGTATATAAGTACCACAACCTCTACAGCATCTCCCACAATCCTCCTCGCCTGCATACTCGCATCTTCAAATCTGGACATGGCTCTCACGGCTACTAGTGTCTTTTTTACCGTCGCTGCCGGAACATGTACAATACTGTCTACTACTGCTGGCGCTACTGCAATTGCTGTGACAGAAGCCTCGAACCCCCGCCTCAACGAATGTCGTGAAATTCTTCACGAGGCCATGAATATATTGGATGCCTTATTGAAGGAGAGCGACATAGATATTTCCGACAGGCTCGTCCGCCAGCTCAGATATAGGCACGAGACGTATGCAGCGCAACTCACTGTGATGATGTGTTCTGACCGACTTTTTTTTTTGCAGGCTCACCGCTTCTGTTGGTCATTTACAGAAGTATTGTGCTAGAACACATTTTTATAACGCGGTGGCCAAGCTCACGATCATTTTCCAAACCCGTACTCTCCGCTCTAACTGCGTGGAACTGTGCGGTAGGGTCAAGGTAAATCTCAGCTCGCTCGTGTTCAAGAAGTCGTTGACCGGTGCACATCAGAGCACATCGGATATCGCAAGAAATAAGCGCATGGGCAACGGCAGTCTTCGTAAGTGTCACTCTGGTATCTTGAGATGTGAAAAGCTCATAAAACCCAGAGCTCCATCGGACGTCATCGAATTACTCTCTGATCACCATTACTTCCCATGACGGCGTACCTGTGGCCGTCGAATCAGACCCCTCCGATATTCCACTCACTGTTCTTCGTGAGTTGGAGGCTATGGACGCGTCTACAGCCGCCGCTGGCGATACCACACTTGCCGTCGTAGCTGAGGAAGCAGCCGAGGGACAAACAGCAGGTAGGTGCAAATGGGACACACTCTCCGCCAGCGGGGTCATTACAACTAATCTGCAACTAGCAGACGAAGTCGACGTTACCGATTCTGATGGCACTTCAAACCATGACGGAAGCCTCACCGTTGTAGGAATCGTTGTCCAGAGCAGTGAGTCTGACGCGACTCCGCATAGCCGTGTTCCGAGTTCTGATAACATCACGTAGATCAAGAGCAATCCGGCAATGTCGAGGTGCCTCCTGACAGTGCCCAAGGCGGTAAGTACAACACGATAGTTTCTCGCCTTTATCGCTCCAAGCACCTCATGCCTCTACAGAACAAAAGGATGTCACCAAAAGTTCTTCTGAGGGCGCCTGACGAGCCGTATTGGTGGGGCGATTGAGTGACGTAGCAGAAGCTGTAATGGACTGCGACGAGCCAGTTGTTGTTTTCCTTTTCTGGGCTAATATGTGGACTGCAGGCAATGTATTGCTCAGTGAATTGTGCCTGGAGACATATTGTGTATGTTTTCGACAGAAGGAGACACGTCGTGAGGCGCTACGGGCTGATTGCTCAGCTTCCAAAGTCGTTGGACTCCAGCTCCAGCTTTTCACGCGGTTACCACATTGAGTTTAGAATCGCTGTGCGGTACGAGTAGCAATTTGCATATACTGCACATGGAATCCCATTGCGAGGCAGATCCAACATGCGATGAGCGATTGGCATCGCAGCGCGTATTAATTTCAGACAACTCTGAACATAGGACTCTACACTATGAGCTCGTGCCGCGGGGCAGATAGTGCGAATTCTTGGAGCGATTTCTGGCGGCAGAAAAGCCAAGGCATGGCCAATGTGTGGTCGTGCGTGTGTGCAGTAAGTGGCGATGTGTCCTCTCGTGAGGAGCTTCCATGCTGAAGGAGAAGCTCAGCTGGGTTAGCGGACGGCGACGAACGGTACACTTCTTCCGAATGATTACGCGCAAGTCGTGTCATGCCAAAGCAATCGGTCAACAGTGTTGGCCAAGCCTGAGAGAGAGAAGAGACAGAGAACAATGGGCAGAGATGCTAGCCTGTGAGAATGACATATTGACATTCGCTTGAGAATACCTCAAGATGATAAGATGACGTGCAGTTACCGCAGCATGTGAAAGGCTTTAATAACGGTGGCTCACCTCGGCCAGCGAGAGCCTGAGAGATGGCCAGTCATGGAACAAAGGGGCTATGCCGACTCGGATGTACGATACGCTCGGCGGCAAACTCTGCCACAGCCGATATTAGTGAAGATGTTGACTAAATCTCAAGGAAGACCCGATCCGTGTAAGCGAATTAGCGATTGGCCTGACTGATGAGCGCCTTCATTACAGCTCACCACACAGCCAGATAGCCTGAATGTCTTCGCGATAATTCCAAATTGTGAGCAGACTACAAGCCCATTCCGCTGGCGGCCGCAATCCTGCATCAAAAGGGCGACAATGTCAACTGATGTCCATGCCCAGCATTCGAGATTTATTGTCTGTAATATTTCTTCCGGTGTAGACTCAATCTGACGGAAGCAGACATGGCCAAGAACCATTACCAGAGCGCCAATGATGAATGACCCACTGGCGGGGAAGACGAGCACATGCAAGCTGATTACCGAGATTCTCCTAGAGTGGAGGGAGCCCTTCGCTCGTACTACACAGTGGTGGACGGGGCTGCGCGGAAGAGTCACTTGCACAAGTTTCAGTGACTAGTGAGTTGTGACTGCCAAAAGACTGGTGTGACATGCGAAATGCAGTCACACGTCACGCTGCCCTGAAAGCCATCACGGTCACAATAGCTTTAAATAAACCGAGCAATTCTCAACCCATGGTCCGGCGCTTAATACGGTTTAAGTTCTTGCTTGTCGCTTGCGGGCGTTGCTATGCGAACTTTTCCTCCGTCGCCATATGCAACACGAAACAAGGTCTCCTTACGTATAGCAACCAATGCATTGCATACGTCCCCGGCTCCGTTCAAGTCCCAGTATACCTGCTTTGCCTCACATAGAACACGTACTAGCGATACACTGGCATAGTGGCGCCAAATACCTCAAAATGCTAATTGTTTGTGTACCGTGAGTCTACTGGTTCATAGAGTGCTTATTGTAAATCTGGCTCTTGCACATCGTGTGTTTGACTGTCGAAATGCAGCGGCATGCATTCTCGTTGAAGATTTATGTCTACAGCTGCTACTTTTGCTTCTGCTAAGCTCCTTTCTGAAGAAAATAAGGCGAGGTTGATGATCAATCGGGTTAAAGCACATCGGCCTGCTTCATGTCTAGAAATTAGGAGGTATCTATGATGGCTTGGTCTGCTTTGTTATATGCTATGGTGTCGTTGAATCTAGACGGTTTCTAGTCCTGCTACCTCTCCCGAAATTACAGCCAGCTTAGAGGCTTTTGATCAGCGCATATAGTCCAAGAAATTCGCTACAAGTCCGATGGAGGACTGTGGTGCTATCACGCTCAGCGGGCAGAACATTACTGCCGCCAGGCAATGCGACAGAGGCTGGTCAGCAAAATTGTTTCAGCAGGCAGCACGCTGAGCACGAACTGCCAATGTTCATGTTGACCGACTCCAATGTGTCGGCGGATTGCAGGTACAGGTCACGATGGTCGGATCGTTGTTCGGTGTGCAGTTTTCCTTGTTTCTCATAAATAGAGGCTGATGTAGCAGAAATCGCTTCGTAGGATGCCGAGGAACATTATTTCCTGACACAAATGTATATCAAAAATGGCCATCAATTGCGAGATTCACATACTCGCATTGCTATCTTGTAGACAAGTGGGCTATTGTTGTGAACACTGTTGCAATCTTCGCCAGCGTCGCAAGAAGTACCAAGCTGACGTCTGACAAGATGCTCGGGACAACGTTAACTAGGTGAAGGATGTTCTGTGCCAAGCGAAGACTATAATGGATGCGCTTACTGCTGGAGAATTGTGAGAAAACCTTAAACGAAACCCCATCTAGAACAAGTCGGAGGCATGAACAGTAAGTGTGTGCATCACTCGAGGCTGTGTGTGTTGATTGTTCTTATCTCGGTCTCACTCGTCTGGCGAATGAAACGAAGAATACTATCCAGTACCCAAATCGCATCACTCTCGGCAAGCTGGCGGTTGTGGTTCGCTCTCTAAGCCCCGGTTGCGACACATCACATGCGATCAGACATCACATACATACAATCTTGTCAGCTGAACAAACTGACAACCTCACAATGGACAGTAGACATGGCGAGTAGTCTGGTGATTGCGAGAACAGCGGAAGTAGGTGGTCCTCCATATTGTCGGCTTTTGTCATTTTCATTCTCTCACTAGTAGAGCTACACTGCCTCAACTCAAACCTCTCGCCGACTACCATGCTGTTCGAAGATGGCATAGCGACTCAAGACGCTGCTGATGGTGATCTAAACGTGACTACAAGTGGCGAGAAAGGTAAGTTCAGAGGCAGTCCCACCTCAGTGTATTTCATTGATTCCGAGCTGCAGGTGAAACGCAGGCGGCAGAAGGCAGTCTAACCTGGGTCTCCCGCAGACAATACCTCACCAGTGCACTGTGCGTAAATTCCTAGAGTGAACCGCCCGGGTTGCCGACATCGTGGGCCTTTCATTAACTCATCATTTGGGAGCAAATGGTAGGTTGTTCTGGGGAACATGATGGGAGCGTCTGCTCACTGTATAGACAGCCATTTTCCATCGTCACATCTATAGCCGCTGGCAATGACCTGCGATCCTCGATGAAATGCTCATAGCCGCGCTGGCATTCGAGCAGCTGGAATGTCAGGTCACTACAATTCCGTCGTTACTTGAACGCTGAAAACCTACGTTACGCTTGATGATCCAGAGGCCCTATGACTGACCACCGAGAAGTCGATCCATCTTCCAAACGTGCCTTGTCTGACTCAGTTTTGATGATTTCGAACGAAGTCATGACTAGATTCCGCTGTGCGCCTCGTCAGGCACGAGATGGCGATATACCGACGCAGTAACCGTATACTTTACCTGACAACCTTGCGGTCTCACTCGATGAAAAATCGAAATTTCAACTAGCGTTTCAAGTGGAGACCACCTCAGCAAGCCTCATTGACTCTAATAGGCGTTCTGGTGGTCGCGCTACACGCTGACAGCGTCCGTTCCTATGCAGTGTTCAACGGTACGGGAGCCTGTGAAGATATTTCTCCGCGTGATGGTTCTGACATTGGCCCCAGACATATGCACGGTGTAGCCGAGTCGAGAATTAGGCCGGTGAATATATGAATGTAGAGTATCATGAACGTAGGGTTAAACGCTGACATTATAAGGATTGCACTTGAGAGACATAGGAAGAGGACGCATTGCGCGAGCGAATGCTGGCCCTGCCCCGATATCTCGAGGCGCTACGGAGTATGTACTGGGGACCGAGGCGACGCAATGGAGCCGACAGTCCCGAGAGCATGTTTAACGCCTTTAAAGACCCGTTTCACCTTGCTTTCGTCCCTGTACACCAGGCGAGAGCGCAGCTTGCTTGAACTGAGCGAAGTACGAATGGCATCAAAGCGAGCCACGACCTCGTCCATGTTGGGTCGTTTCACGGGGTCATCCTGGACCATCTCGTCGACGAGAGCTTGCATAACCTCGACGCCATGCGATCTCTACCAAGAGGTTGAGCAATGAATGACAGTCAGTCGCCATTAAACTAACCTGTAGGAAGTCCTCCCGAATCATATTTCCGATGTAATACACATCAGTCGGGAACGGATCGCATGGTTCGTTCGACTCCTTGAATTCGGGCACCGATTTGTCTCCGCCGTGAATTGGAGGCTCGCGAGGAGGGCCATCGTCCGGTCTGTACTTACGAGAGAGTCCGAAGTCGATGAAGTAGTACCTCGTCGGCCGCGCGGTACGAGAGTAATGTCGCGCGGGATGATCGAGATCGCGCGACCAATCGATGACGCGCGGATGGTACATGTCCGGGAACAGGGGGTGCGGATCCATCATGATATTCTGGTTCATGCAGTCCCTGCGCGGTATACACATCAACCACTCGGTGCAAGCAAAGGACCGACTAACCGATGTGCGACGTGATGTTGATGCATGAACTGCAAGCCCTAAGCAGAGCCAATTTAGCGCCAAGATCACAATTGAGCAGACCAGAGAGCAGATACCTCGAAGATCTGCCGGAAGAACTCTACAGCCTCTCCTACGGTGTCAAGGAGAGGGCTGTCGTACCTTCGCAGAAGAGGCGTGACGAGGATCATCATGCCTTCCTGATCGGTTACCTGTAGGACTTCATACAAGGGCGCGCAGTGGTTTCGCGGATCTGACGCCAGTGGCTCGGCCGAGAAGTATTGGTTGATCTCAATTTCGTGTGGGTGCTCCGAAATGAGAATGCGTTTGAGAACGACCATCTCCCCGCTTGAGACTCGCGTGGCGTCCAGGATGTGAGGCACCTGTTGGCGCCGATCTACCTACGTCCCGAAGTCAAAGACATTGCAAACGTACCATGATGGCATGCCCATCCTCGCATCGCCAGTACTCTTTATGGCTGCTCTTCCACGATGGGATCCAACCTGGTTTATAACGTGGGCGGAGCCTATAGCCACATTCCTCAAGCCACTGGTAGTGATCCCTCCAGAAGTGCTCTTCTGGAAGAAGCTCGCCTTCATTGTGACTTCTTATTGGAGTAGGCGGATCCGGCGTTTCAGCGTCGGTGTTGTCAATTGTCGATGGCTCGCACATCGGGAGGACTGAAGCTAGACGTGGGATGGGTCCGAGAAACAACTGGTCAAGCGGCAGATCGTGATAATATGGAGTTTTTTGCTCACAAACGGTCTCAATGAGCACCAGAATATTTACTGTCAGATCCTAGCTTGACGATTACGAGGAGTCGTGCACAGTAGATGCGCCATCGGTAGTAGGGGCCGTATATGCCAGGACACACCATAGACTCGGATGACGTTCATCTGGGCAAGATCTAGATCGCTGTGGCGTCGATGTTCGTCGACCCAAACTAAAATCTGTTCCTACTCTTTGTCATTTGCACGCTGCGTACTGTCCTACTCGAGTAGAACGTGCGCATGCTATGTACGCGTAGAGAGAGCAATTTATGATTTTCATACGATAGAATAGCCAGACTGCAATGTTCCAGTTTGAAGGACTGGTTAAATACCGCCGCAGTCTTGTTACGTTCCACGCCCGCCGAGATTCACAAGGTGAACAGATTCTGATGAATGTTATAATCCGAGCAAAAAAAACCATGCTGTTCCAAGTGCGACAGAACATGACACCAAAAATCGGACATCGTTCTCAGCTGCTTGCGGCGCTGCAAAACAGAGCATCCGAACCCTTCACTCAATGATTCCAACCCACGGGTTGAAGTTGTAGTAGTGGCAGTCGGTCTGCGTGACATATTCACTCCCGTATCCATCCTTGGTCGTAGTGCCGTCTCGGATGATCTGGATGTACGGAATCTGGGAGTCCTCCGTCGGAAAGTTGACCTTCCCAATGCTGGCGCCGGCAGGGGCATCCCACTGCGCCTCGTTGGAGCCGATATCGAGCTGTATCGTTGCCGCCTCGCTCAGAAGGGCCAGCGCAAAGACCGCATCGACCGGGTACTCCCAATTGCGAGGTATCGTGCCGATACTGCATGTGATGTTCTTGGGGTGTGCGCGGTACCAAAAGATCACTTGATCGTCCTGTCGGTGCGGTCAGCACGCCAGCCTCTGACGAAAGAAGGAAGGCACAGACCGTCACGGTGGGCTCGGTGGCGGTCTTGTACCAGCTGATGAAGTGTTCAGCAACGTTCCTCCAGTATCCGTGAACAAACCCATCGACCTAGTCAGCTCCGGAGTCAGCGCATGCTTAGATGATCATTATAGATGATGTCACGCACATAGTAAGGAGCGTCGTCGCCCAAGTCGACATTGGGGTTGATATCTCCAATGTAATGAGATTCGGCGTAATCGTTCCAGCTGGAAATCAAGCCCTTAGCGAACAAAGGTCGTGACGAAATGAGGGTATTGCGAAATATAGTCCTTCTGCGCACCTGATGATCTCAACGATATCAGGCTGTACGTCTTGGATTGCCTGCAGCCAGCGGTGGTACCAGAGAGTGTCGCTGAGCTCGACCCAGTCCGTATCGGAAGTGCCGAGATTCTTGAACTGCCACGGTGAGACGGCTACAATGTGTCAGCAAGGGCAGTGATCTATCAGCTGAACAATTTACACATGATGTAGGGGCCCGTGCGATCATCCTTGATGACGGCTTGATAGGCGAGGTCTGTCGCTGTGGTGAGATTCGCATCCACATCATCAGGCCTGGAAGAAGCAAAATAAATCAGCCTGGATATCCCTGCTGGTGGTCAGACGGCCGACCATACCAAGACCACCAGTTGAAGAATCCATCAATCGATGCGAACGTATTCACAAGGTCATCTGCATCGTCTGGATCACGATAGGTCGTGAATGCAGGAGCAAAGCAGGTTGTAACGCCGTCATTCGCCAGGGTGGTCTTGAAGTCCTCCCAGAAACTCTCGCCGTAGCTTTCGCCGGAATAGGTCGAGACTAGGACGTCACCGTTATATGTGTACGTCGCAGAGCTGGAGGAATAGTTGGTGACGAGGGCTACCATATCATCGCTGGACCAGGAATAGGACATGTCGAAGGAGAAGAACAGCTTGAAGCCTTGCGCTTCAGCCACACTGTAAGCATCGACTAGGCGATCGACCTCGTAGTCATACTCGGCGATATTGAGAGCTGGGCATCGATGAGTCCGGTGCTAGCTCACGAAGACAGCACAATGAATTTACCAAAGCCATCGATTCCGATGTTGGCAGCTGTTGTAATATCATTCTCCCAATCGGAGGCATTGTAAGAGTATGAATTTTGCACCTGCAATTGGTGATGAGCACACGGTCCGCGATCAACACGACGAACGCCTACCATGAAATGCGCGAACACATCCGCAGCCTCAACCACTCCATGAAACGCAGCGAAGGTGCCTAAAAGGATGCTTACAGAAAGCATCCTGCTCGCTGAGGCAGCCTCAATCATAAAGACAGAACAAAGGGCGGATTGATTTGTCACATCCTAGTCCCTCATCGGCCGCTTTTACACACGAGCACATGCTTCTCATGCCAACCGCATCAACAAGCATATGGTGCTCATCACAGGAGTCCTCACATGTGTCATGAACTCATCAAAGACAGGAACATCGCATTCATCAGACAGAGAACGCGATGTAATGTGGCAGTAGCGATGCTGTCCACACCACGCAGCATGGTCCGACGATGATAACACGACGAGGTCATCCGACTGTTGCTTTGGGACCATGACCGCGCACATGTCTGGTCGAGAGCATGGCTGGGCAGGTGAGGCATGAGCTCACTGACGGAACCGAGATGCACATGGGAACGACGTACTACGTTCGCGATCTCAAGTTCTGCTAGCACTATGCATTCAAGCAGCAGAGGGCGAGCATGTGTTGGAAGGTGCTTCCTGAGGACTTCGGTGGACTGTCGAGCTGGACAAAGTGGCCGGCAGAAAGACGTGATTATCCGATATGTGTAAAGCGAAGCCTGGCAGGTCATCCCAACTTGGCTTGGCAGCTTGAAAGTGGACCGTGGAGGCACTGCAGTCGCAACCATTCTCAGTGCTCACTGACTAGCTCCGTGATCAACGTGCGTCACGATCAATCATCGCGATGACAGTACCTGGTTACTGGACATACACTTTGCAAGAGGGGAATGCAAAATCTAGGTCTAGAACATCCACATAAAAATGTGAGCAGACCACAGTTTTAAGCACACGGTAGAGGGACCGGCAGCTGCCGGGATCGGGCCGCTTCTTCGGACTGTGGCTGCGCAGATGTTCAGATGTAACGTTCAGAGGCCGTTCCCCCTTGCTTATAGCTGGACGATCGCTATCGTTCATACAACTATTATGCTGTTACTTGATGTTCATCGGCCGTTCCCCCTTGCTTATAGCTGGACGATCGCTATTGTTCATACAACTATTATGCTGTTACTGACCTTTCGCTGAGAGGACCACGTCAACTAAAGTATTAGCACAGTGCGAGTCGGCAGGCCGCCCATCAGACGAGTATCCTTGGGATAGCTGATATGTTCTCCTGATGTATTGAATTCAGGCTCTTTCGAGCAATGATGCGCACACCGCAGACGGGTAGACTGGAGCTTTCAATTGCGCAGCTGACCTCTTGCGTGCGAATAGTCGTCAGATGCTCTTATCTGTCCGCTAACCCTGGTCTTGGCAAGTAGGACATGGCGTTGCGAGGCATCGTTGTGTGGGAACGAGGAAACAATCAATCACAGTCCGAAGACCTGCTTTCGTGTCCCGTGCTGCAGTGTTATGAAGGCGAGAATCGCGTTGTGGGCGATCGTTTGTCAATGGTCAGGAAGCCTGCACATGAACTCTGCAGTATTCTTGGTGAGAGCGGACTGCCATCTCTGTGTTGTTTGTTCTGAGTAATGCGGTCCAGCTGCATGTCGAGAACGTTTCCGTTTCTCATGACGATGTGTAGACCGTAGTTGTACATGGTTGACATAACGGTAAACGCTCTGTTCGATCAATGTCAGTAGTTCATCATTGGAGGGTCACAAGCAACATGGGCGGAGGCTTCAGATCCGTCTAGAACGGAACGAATGGAGCAATGTCGCGCTTTGGACAGAAGGCTGCCCGTCTTTTGCCATTGGGGACACTGGGAATTCCCTGCAGCTGTGCGCTCAGTACACTCCGACTGCCAAGCGCTTCGGCTGTTGGCCATGGAAGGAAGGCAGGCCAGCTGACGGTTGCTTTCGGCACGCGTGCTTTCATCAATTTCGCAAATAAAAGGCCTGTGCAGCCGCCGCCATTGTTGGCTGCACTGATCGGCATTGATACATCATGTACTCTCTCATCCGTCGTTTACTCAAGGTAGGGGGGTTCTGCTGTTCTACAGGTACCGGGACTTATGAATGCCTAGACTACCAACCCACCCGTGGTGGAGAAGTCTGCCAACCCCCTGCGTTTTGGTGTCATAGGCGCCTCGCAGATTGCTCCCCATCAGATTATAAGGCCGGCAAGATGCCACGAAGATGCAGTCGTCTTGGCCGTCGCGGCTCGAAGCAAGGAGCGCGCTCTGGAATACAGCCGCACTTGGAACATTCCGAAGGTATACGGTGGACCGAACGGGTACCAAGGTGACGTTGCTTCCGCATCTGAGGTAGCGGAATGAGTGCTAACGTCGGCATTCTTCAAAAGAATTATTAGATGACGCAGAAATCGATGCTGTATATATCGGCGTAAGCTTCTACACGTTCTGGCTGCGGACCGGTACTTGACCTCCTCGTATATTTCAGCTTCCAAATTCCTTGCATTACGAATGGACGATGAAGGCGATAGCAGCTGGCAAACACGTGCTTTGCGACAAACCCATCGCTAGCAACGAGACTGAAACACGAAAGGTGTTTGCCTTAGCTGAGGAGAAGAATCTTGTGCTGTTGGAAGCTTGGCAACCTCGGTACATCATGTGACACCAGTATGCAGACGTTGCCTCAACCGTCCCATTAGATTCCATCCAGCGCTTCAGCGAGTAAAAGAGATAATCGACGAAGGTTCTCTCGGAGAGATCGTGAAGATGTATTCCCATTTCGGTCTCTGGGGTAATGTGCTGTTCAAGAAGGATGATATTCGATTTGACTACAAACTTGGCGGTGGCGTACTTATGGACATGGGCCGTATGTCTAGAATCCTTCTCGTTGGTTTCCACTGACAAGGGGATCTTGACAGCATATCCGATCAATTCCATGATGTATCTCGCGTCGTCTAAGCCTACGGTGCAGTCCGCCGAGGCAACCTGCATGTCTGAGAATGTCGACAAGAGGATGGAGGCACAACTGCTCTTTGGCGACTCCTTACCTGCGACGATCATCGTCGACTTTTCGCCGGAAGGCTGGGGTCCATTCAAGCTTTTCCCGCAGTTTGTCAAACTCACATTGAGAGTCGAATGCGAGAACGGTGCTATCGAACTGTGGAACTACCCATTGCCGCATCTGTTTCATTCCATCACTGTCATCCCGAAGAATGGCAAATCCCGGGTGGAGAAGGCGTACAAGCCTAAAGAAGGGAAGGGAGAGGAATGGTGGTCCGCGTAAGTGCACGCTTGTGCCAGTGCCCGCATGAGCTCACGCGTGGTAATCAGGTATCGGTATCAACTAGAGGCATTCGTCGACACAGTACGTGGGCGCTCTCCTCAAGCCTGGAGGACAGCAGAGGATTCGATCAACGCTATGCATGTCATTGACACCATCTATTCGAAGGTATGTGTGAGTCCCGTCATATAACTTCGTTACTCATAACCCTTTCTCCACAGAGCGGCCTCTCATTGCGACTAACTTCGCAGTACCAACCTGAATGATCATGCGTTGATACTCAGCTTTCAAGTTGGGGAATTATCAGGAACAGCGTCAAATAGTGTGCGGTTCCGACCTGCTGCCGTGCGGTGTTGTTTAGAGTTGTAGACATGTTTCCGGCTCATTAGCGCTATATCGCGAGTTTCGTACGTCGCAGTCACTTTCGTCAGCGAGCGAGGAGAAGGTGCTGCATAACCTCTATTTGAAAAGTCTAACTTGCCGCCCATGGGCGCTCGCCGCTTAGGCGAGATTATCTGGCCGGCGCTAAATCTGAGTCTCGCCATCGTTGTCCTCTCCATCACCTTGCATTACGCACTACTGCTGCGTGCATGATTTTGCCCAGTATTTCTCATCCAGGCAAGATAATAGTCAAACATTACAAGCTGTGCGCGCGTTTTTGTCAGGACTCAGCCCTTCGGACTGTACGTTTTCGAGATGTCTGGTGCTACCCAAGACAGAACAAGGCCAAGATGTTTTGAGGCCGTGTTGTCTCCGCGACGTTTACCATGTTGTCTCCGCGATGTTTACCAGAGTTCAATGACAGGGGCAATGCTGCGTCGGCCTCGTAAATGGCTGAAGCTCATGGCACCTTGTATACGTGCCAGTTGCAGCTGCGCTCGGCCCACACTGGGTTTCTCATGCTCGGCGGCATCTTGTTCAGCGGTGGGTCCTTGTGGGTCCACCTCTCCCGGTGCGGATACAAGCCATCCGTTTGTTTCAATCAAAGGAGTGGCATAGCCACCAATTTCCCGGACAAGGAAAGCGAACGTGTTCTGTAAAGCTTATGAAAACATGCTCGCGTCAACACCCGCCGCTTGTTGAGTAGGCAGCGCGGCACTGAACAAGCGGGCTCGTTTCACTGGTCCAATCAGTGGGAAAATGCCCCTTAGCCGGGCGGAATGTGCCGACCTGATGGCATCCCATCCCGTCACGCTGGAGATTTAGACCGTCTCGGCCATTATATTGTTGGACTGGCCGCAGGTCCTCTCCCAACTCTTTCTCGCTCTTGCTCAGAGGCCCTCGCTGATCTGGAAGCGAGATGGGAGTGTCGGTGAGACGCTTGATGAAGGCCGTGGCGTCGGTCTGCAAAGCCACGTCGAGGTTCGCCACGAAGTGCAAGACCAGCCGTCGCCGGCGCGCCCAGTATGATAGCCTGCTATTCGAGGGTGACAGTTTCAAAAACAGGGCAATATCCGAGATCGAGTGTCGCAGAGACAAGTTGAAACCCTCAGCTTTCAACCAGTGGAATACCGTTCTTGACGTGTACGTGTTCATCTTCCTTGCCTGTTATGTGCTGTCTGATGCGACCAAGTCACGAATAGGTTGAATGCAGAAAGGAGAAAGCTGACTGATTTTAGCTCGTATAAGGCGGATTTTGCAGCGGAGAAGAAGGCTTTAAGCGATGCACAGAAGTACAGACTTGATGCTGAGGATTTCTACAACAGGTCTCAGGTACGTTAATTGACCATTTGTTGGCTGGAGTTCAGGCTCATAGCTTTGACAGAATATCGTGGCTACGGGCTCGCCTCAGTCTCCATCCGTCCTGTTGTCTGGTCATTCAACAGTGGAAAATCCACAGCGAGAACGTTCGCCGATTTCGCTTCACCATTGTGTCTGAGCTGATCGATCATACGCCAGTGGTTCTTCGAACCTTGCGTGCCGGCGTCCCATCCGCCACGGATCCTGGTACAGGCGCTTCTCCAGCTCTCAGTGACGAGCAGCAGCGTTGTGCGTTTGAATCTCCATTGCTGAGGTTAACGGCGACTCATCTGGTGCTTTGTCTCACAGCGAAGAGCGCACCGTCTCCCGCGTCCGCCGTTTCGTTCAACAAGAAGGATACACAACCACGATGTAGGTCACATCTAGTTGGATGTCCTCCTCGACTTGATCCTTACAAGTCTCATTTCACAGCAATCAGTGCATCAACTGGCGGCCAGCCCAGTCGCCGACCCACTTTATTCACGGAGAACGCACTGGGCCTTATTTTTTCTCGTCGTCGGGATTCAAACGCACGCTCGCCAACATCGTCTACTGACCGCTCAATGAGTCTCCGTATGTTGCCTAGCTCAACGCAATTCATCATGCTGACCCGTTCACGCCAAATGTAGGATCAGTGTTTAGCAGCATCATGATGGCCGCTTTGCCTAGCCGCACGACTTTACCGGCCAGCATAGCCGAGGATACCAGTATGTCGTCTTCTCTACCACAAATGAGGGTACGCCCTGATGACAGCCAGGCGACGCTGCGGTTGAACGGCCTGAGCAACAACCACTCTGGCCTGATCGATCCCAATTTATTGTCGAAGGTGAGTGCTTGAGTGCTGACATACAATACGCAGCCTCGTTCAGTCTTTTCACAGGAATAGCTTCACAGTACGATCATACCAGCTGAGGTCTTCTCTAGTATTGCTGTCTCCGCTAGCGCGTTTCTCTCGGCATGTCAGTGGACGGTTTACCCAGTTTTTCTGATGGACATATGCATCATGTAATAATTAAGGCGGCTCTGTATCATGCAGGTTCTCTTTTCTCGTGGTTATTGTGATTCTGATGTTGCAGCTATCGGCCTTCATGTGTGTGTCAAAACGCATATGACCTGGCGTTTAGCTGTCAACGGATGTGTGCTAAGGGCTCTCAACAAGGATCAAGGATTTCTGGAAACAGTCTTGGAACGTTATTGTACTTCCCGCGCCGGATTCTAAAACACTAATCACATACGCTTCTACTGATTAGGTTGTCTTCAGACTGGGAAACAAGCATCTGTCGGCTTGTGTTATGGGAAATAAGGTGAAGACAAATTGTGCTCTAGACTTGAAGATGGGACTTCACGTACTAATCAGGAATAATTCCTGACAACGTACATAGTTTATAATCCAATGTACGGATGGCATTGAAGTCTGGGACGTACTACTGCACGCGAAAAGGCTTAGCTGAGAGATCCGAATCGTCAGACGTCAAGCTACTGCCGTTATGGCGAAATCATTCTGCCAGAACAATTGTCAGTGTCTATTCTTTAAACTTCGGTAAATTGCGCACCGAGCAACTGTTTCTCATCGCTAGCATAGACGAACATCCAGTGGTTCATCATAAACCGCGGCTAGCTACTTGATTGATCAAACCGTGATGCTCGCTACGCCGCTCACACTGCTAATCTTAAATCATCTTGGGTGCATCCGGCATCCGAGTGCCTGGTGCACAGATCATACCTGACAACGTTTAACAATGGTTTGCATGCGCCTCCGACTAGTTGTGTGTTCTTGTTGCGCCGAGAGGTCTCGGCATCTGATGCTGTCAAAATTCGAATCTGTACACGCAGAAATGCGAAATCGTGTCGTCAGGGACGAGATCGCGAGTTGGCGGCGTTCTAGTCCATTAAGGCAATTTGCATAGTCGTTCATAGCCTCGCTGCGGCCATAACCACAAGAGCCTTGTTTCATACTATTGTCAACTGCGGCAGGAATAAAGTTCAGTTCTGTGCCGCATCACAACGTTCATCACGCCCATGGCAGGACTCAGTCAAGGCAACCACCTTTCTATCGCGACAACGCAGACAATGACCCCCTTTGTGCAAGATGGGAAGGCGTAAAGCTCCTCGAAGCAAGCCAAAGTATTTAGGATGCTGTCGAGGCATGAGCCACAGTCAGGGGTTGCCTTGGTTCTGTTCTGAAAACTGTAGTCTCTCCAAATACGGGAGCCATGCCTTCTCTTCCGAAGAACGCGGCTGAGATAGCCTCATCCTTGAAGACGCGCGGATCCAAGAAGATCGAATACCAGAGTACGCTGCACCAAGGCGATAGCAATATGCAGAAGGCCATGAACTACATCTCGCAGATTGCGGATGCAATCACTAAGCAGGAAGCGCTCGCGTGGAGTAGTCAGTTTTCGCGGTACGTTCTCTGCAACTGGAATGAGTGTATGGCATCTAATGTTCAGAGCAGGATAAAAGAGGATCGGCCGGCGCTCTCAGATCAGTTTGAAATTGCGTACAAGTCCTGGAAACTTCAGCACGATGCCATTATAAGAGCAGAAGAATACAGGCTCAAGGCTGTTGAACTCGCCCAATCCCTGGAGGTGCGATATGTTCATCCAACGTACTTGAACAAGGCTAAAACAGCTCTTTTTCAGAAACGGTGCACCACGATACTCGCCAGGCCTCCTGTCCAGACCGTACCGAAGAAGCTTGCAAAAGGCAGATTTTCTGGCGATAGGTATGGTTCTGTTGAGAAGTTATGAGACACGCAGCAGGCTGAAGCGGCTCACCTAAAGCGTAGCGGCATCTTCGCACCACGTCCCTTCACCACTAGGAATTCGCTCGATAGTGAATACCGACGGTGTCATTAGTGGTGAGTGTTCGCAGCAATCATCCTTGGATTGATCGACATCTAAGCCTCGACGTCTTTGAAGTACAAACCTATGCTCTTAACCGTAACAGAAGGTCGACCCACACATCTCCAGCCACTGGTTCCCAGCAGACATCAGCTGGTCCGGTTCTCTATGGTCTGTTGTCATTGTGCTTGAACATTGATCGCACCATGCTCAGAGAGTTGCAGATTCGCACATGGGAGGGAACTGGCATGGTGAGCACCCCAACAGGGTCTTCACAGCATCGCCAGAACCGATAATTGACACCTGTGTGTAGACCATCTGATTTGATTATATATGTCGCTCATCTCACTGTCACTTGCCTATCCAGACAATGCAATACTTTGGCACGCTGGATATACATGAATTGATGAAACGGACATGAAAGCGGTTCATCAAGAGACGTACCGGTGAAACAAGGATGACGACACGAGGGTTCTCACGACAGCGACGACATTAACAATAACATATTGGCATTAGATATTACGTTAAGGGTCAAACATAGAGAATATACGATACGTAATATGTGCTATGCTTTTGATAAGAACTACCTATAGCAATGCTTTCCATAAAACTGTCATTTACCCTATGTATGTCGTTTGATAGTTGTACACATATGTATGGACGTAAGAGATAAACAGTGTCCGATGCAGTATCAGAATAATGTTTGTGCATCCCGGTACTTTCGAAAGACGTGACTAAGGTGGAGAAGAACTTGATTCTGGGGCCATCGGACTCGTATTTGCGGATCATACGTCACTTGAACGAGATCACACGAGCTGAAAGCAACCCGGCGCAGTCGCACACACTGGCATACTTGGAGGCGGCGCGGCCGCCGACCTAAGATTCGGCCGGCCCTTCTCGGCCCGCCAAACCTTGACTTGATGTAAAAGTGGCATGCGACTTTTCGAATTCACCCTTCATCCACTGGAAGTCTTCTCCTGAGTCACTCGTACATCCCGGAATTCTTCAGCTTCGATCGTTGAGCGGCATCATGAGACATCTTGGAGCCGTGAAGGGCGAGCCTTTTTGACGGGCGCGGACACCGTTTCAGCCCTGGTTCAATCAGCGGCAGTCATCCTTCCGGGCAGAATTGTAGTGGCGCTGAAGAAAAGGTTTTAATGCTGCTATCGTCGCATACGTGCTTTTGAATTGAGGAACGGGTGGAGCTGCTGGTACGTTTGAGCAACACCCTTAAATAAAGAGAAGCTGATAATGTCGACGAAGGCACGAATAGAGAATATTTCCGTCAGAGTTCAGAACCTTTACGGCTACATGAGCAATCAGCCTCATATATAATATCATGGCCGGTCTTCTGTTGATTTGCACCCTGGTCTGAACGCGAGCTACAAACGTTGAAGGCCGCCGCGAGTGGCAGATCATTGCGTGATAGTGTAGAAATCGGCGAGATGTGGCAAATCAAATTTCGGATGCAATGGACGAACATCTGTAAGTGATGTTACATTCGAGAGCAGCCCTATATAAGTTACGTTTTTCTTGTGAATCTGATGATCACGTAGCTTGGATTGTAATGGTCTTTGTTGCAGTTTCTATATAACAGGTGACTCCCTATGTCCTTCAGGCGATAGCCGAGCTTTCACGTCCCACAACGTGTGTGTCATAACTTCTCGCCCGTGACGTCTCAGACTGAACCGTGGGATCAGAGTCTTTCGTGACGGCACCTTATATGTAAGTACCGTATTGCGCAGCACGCGAACAGCCGCAGTAATAAAACTCTCATGTCAGTTAATCATAGCTGATTGCTCACTTTCTGACAGCCTCACATTTATGTAGATGCACCTGCAAGGAAATTAATAGCCTTGCGGCGGCCAAGCTGATAAACGCCACTTTCATGCGCCTCGATCGGGTCTTACACAATCTAGATTCAAATTAAGCTCCACCAACCCGCGAGCAGATGCAAGTCGCCTCTGGTAGGGAAAGTGACTGGCAGAAGTCATGCTCAAGAAACAACCCGCTCCCAAAGACTTCCTTGAATTTATCGGTCGGAACGCGCTTATCACCTGATTCACTTATAAGAGCAGCTCTCACCATGTTCCGAAGTCTGGAGAAGCCCTCAGCCCGCTTGGCTCACTCGACATATGTGCTACCATCTAGTCACATATTATGAATACCTCTGCGCTCACCAAGTTCCTACAAGACGCCATTATGTGAGGATCTAAACCGCGTTTGTTTAACTCCACGGCTCATCCCCCCAGGGCAGATCGACTGCAATCAACTGACTTGCAGACTGAGTCGATTCCACAATCCCGTTGACCATGACTGCGAAGCCGACTGTACCGCAATGTGAGTTGCAATGTTACCACTGGTGCGGATCTGCAGACGGATAAGCAGCATTTTACCTGACCAACATATCGTGATGGAGAGGAGACCGGAGCAGTGCTTCACTTGCCGCGGGCTGCCTACGCCGCCCGTTCAAGGGCCAGACGTAGCTGGCGGAATGAATGGTCACGGTGAACATGACTCTGAACCTGAATCCAGTTCGGATGAGGAGGAAGACGCACAATAAGCATGGGATATGCTCTGATTGGGACGGCGGCTTGAACTGTATTTACGGCGACATGTCATGGATAGTCGTGTTCCACGGTAATTGTAACGATACTTCTGTATGCAGTGTGTAGGAGGCGTTGCCGGGGGTGGAAATCGACATGCAGGGAAGGACTGATGGCCCGGACAAATGAGCACATGGGGACAAGTGGGTGAACCTTGGCTTAGGACAGCACCCCTATTAGGCCTCGCATCTAGAAACGCTGTATATCCGTGTCATGAGACTATGGTGGAATGCGGAATTACCAGCTGTCAGAATACATGAATGGTGGCATGTTCAAGTCCCAGTCGCGCGCATCAGGTTGCAGACTGTCTTGACGTTTATCTTGGCCTTAATTACCGGACGTCGCGGATGTACGTTCTCGTAAGAGAAAGTCCAAGAACGATCGAGAAGTTGAAAGTGGTTGACAGCACGGGGAAGCGAAAGAAAATCGGTGAACCTTGCGAATGCCATCGGCAGTCATCTGGAAGAAAGCAGCACAACGTAAAGAATGCCTCATGCTCTGTATGAGATAGTAGAAATGACTGATCAGCACGAATAGGCATCTCGAAGCTATTTACGAGCTGCACGGTGCCTAAAAGGCGACTGGATGATCGTGTATAATGGCAGCGAGAAAAGAAGGAGCCAACTGATGTTGAGGGTATAGAAGAACAGGATCTAGGCCGCAAGTAAGAAGCTGTACGAGTGGGGTACAGTGGAGAGGCCTCGATTTCGGAGCAGCCTACCTTTTGCCATTTTCGTCGAGCATCGCCAGTAGCTCCAAAGACCCCTGATCCAAAGAACCGCACTAAAGAGCTAGGCCCACCGTTCGTCACAAGAAGTTTGAAACATGTCAGAATGAAGATGAGCGTGCAGTGCGATCTCTTACGTATTGTGTAACCGAGGTTGGCATCGCCTTGGTCCGTGACCATCTTTATCAATGGCACATCATGCCGACGGCTCGACAAGCGCGCTCTCCCTGAGCCAGAGCATGGGACCATGAGGCTCTTGACTTTGGTAACTCTGAAGTCGGTGCGATGAACTAGCAGAAGCTGTCGATATGAGGGCTAGCTTGCAGCCATTACGATCGCTCTTGGCAGGACGCTGCAGTGAGAGGCTTTAGCTGTACTTCAGCTTGGATGACATCGATCGGCGGGTTGGCCTCCCAAGAAACAAAGGAGAAATGCTAGTCCCAAAGCTGCACTGCGCTGCAGACGACGTAGGCGGAATATGAATCCATTGCGAGTGATTGGAGATGCTGAGCACTGAGTGCGAGTAAAGCCGCTCGACGTTGAGAGTTCTGCGAGGAAGTGAGTGTTCACCTATTTGGCAGGAAAATCACATTTTCTCTTGCGTCTTCTTGATGGTTATATGTCTTGCGAACCTCTTCCTCGGATGTCGCTATGCAGCTATCCCTTTAGGCTAACAAGGTCAGGTCTGCCTGCCCACAAAAGCTACGACAGTGGAGTTCGCTAGATGATGAGGTCTTCACTCACCTAACAGGTTCGAGGATGGGGGAACGTATGTTACATGGTGAGCGTACGTTCATGCACGAGTTCGCAATACGCACCATCAACAGCCAGCATCAAACAGAAAATCCACGTTCGCTATGGCTCGAGTACCGAATAGTTCGTCATCGAAAATTGCTGATACTATGAAACAGTCCGCGTACGCTATGTACTACATGGTCCGTTGACTCTTGCGTCATACGAGTCCTCGGAGTGGAAGCCTAGACGACATTGTACGTTGCCAGAATCAAAACCGTGAGCAGTGACGGCATTGATGAGCTACAGGCCGGTGTGATTGCACACGAGTCTAAGCTGTCGGTTGGCTCACGTACAACGATGTCAGGTCGCCTACATGTATTATCTTCTGCCCAGCCTGCCATAGAGCAATAGACAGTGTCGTGTCCTCGGCCTGGAGAGCTCCATGCAGGCAGTCTTCCGATGTCAGCAATCGTAATATGGGAGGTCTAGGTGAGTTTCAACGCTCTCGCTTCTGATACTTTTATATCGGTCTCCGATGTCGACCATCGCTATGCATAATGACTTCGCTGCGGTGTTCGGTCAAGAACGAGTCGCAAGTGAACGTCAAATCCTGCCACAAACGTGGTTATTCGATGCCATCGGCTCCGAGGGTGATATCGGATCATTTCACGGTCGAGATGGAACATCAAATCTACAATGAGATGTTTAGCAATGTGCAGGCTCGTCTTCTTCAAATTGGGCTGTGGTATGAAATTCCACGCTTGGCACGGCCCCCTCGAAGAGTCGTTCTCGGAAAATCCTATTCGTTCGTGTGCCACGCTTGAACTGAAATTCCGGCAGGCTATATGTCGATCCGGATTTGGATGAGACGCCTGGAAGGCGGTACCGAACGTTGAGTGAGATGGTTCCTCACCGTCACGGGTAGCTGCCAAAGGAGCCATTACTCTGCATTTTAAATCTAGCTTACCCGTAAAGGGCTCCCTGCGGCCCGACGTTCTTTCAGCCGTCATCTTGCAGCCAGCATGCACAGTTGTTCTGACAAACTTCAAACATCCACAGTTTCTGATCTTTTCGAAAGTCGCCCAGCTCTGCCCGGGGTATGTGGTGATCCAATCAAATCCCAAGAAGCAAACGAAAGCTCGGGCCGAAGGCTCCTCTAGATTTACCGTCAGGGTTCAACCTAAGAAGTGCCGCGGATATCACGATTCCCGTATCCTCACGTTTTCTGCCGCTGCCCGGGTATATGGCTAATGATGGGATACAGCCCTCATGGGTCCATTCGGTGAGGCAGACTCGCGGCGTGGAGATCGGCGGACTAGAACGAAAGAGACAGCACTCCGTACACGATCTCTGGTGTTTCCGAAAGCACAAGACTGCATTGGAATGTATTCGACCCTGCCCGTATGCCATGAACCCCGGTATCACCCCATTTCCAAATGTCGGTCACGATGTCTCTGCATGATTTCGCGCTAATCAAGCAGTATGAAAGGGGAAGCGACATATAAATAGCGGACATTGCCATTTCCATAACATGAAACAAGAGTATATCGTGCAGATAAGGCTAGCGACGGAAGAGTCTGCGACACCACGACGTGAACGCATCAGCTCGATCGCAGGTCCATGTCCATACTTCCTCGATGATTCCCTCAAACTCTTGCTCGCTCCACGCAGATTGCACGTGATGATGTTCAGCGAGAGTAAACCGAAGCACATCTTTGACGGTGACAAGTCCAACGAGCATGCCTCTGTCTTCTACCAGGATGACTCGAGGGCTGCAAGGTATGAGCAATATTTCAAGAGGAAGGTTCATGAATAACTTACCCCATTCGCTTGAATAGCTGCATAACGATCTCTAGTGGAAGTTGAGGAGAGACCGTAAGAGGGGTCTGCTAAGCGCTCAGCAAACAAATCAGGCACTATAACTAATAATCGTACCTGGTTCACCCATGGCCAGAATTTAAGGACCTCCGGTGTCGCAGTAGTCTCAATGATCTCCATACATATGTCCTCGTCAATCCCTACTGCAGGTCCAGAGGCCATGTTGGGAAGGTCGGCATGGGCCTCAACCTGCCTATGGTCTTCCCTATCAGATGCGAAAGAACATGGCGTTTCCAGTGCGATATTTCGCACTCTGCGCGATCTCTCTGCACATGTGATCACTGTCAGTTAAAGGGAACACTATAACATCGACAAACGTACCCAGCACGTATCGCAGTTCGGAACGTTCTATGTAGCCAACGAGAGTCCGACTAGCATCATCTGAGATAATAGGGAATCCTTTTACGTCTGTGCTTCTCAGGCGCTCCTCTGCAATGGTCAACACTGTGATGCTCATCCATCGAGTCGCACAGATGCTTACCAATATCGCGCACAGTTAGCCCTGATGCAGATAGCGTATGTAGGTCACTTCTCATTACCTTCGACACTGGGCACGAAAGTGAGAATGACTGACTCTAGCTAGTCGGGAACGTCTGGACTGACCTGGTACATTATAAGCTTCATCATCCTTCTCTAAAAACGGGTAGCCATTGAAGCGAATCATTTCGTCCGCGATGCCGGTCGTCCCGAGAAAATCTCCGACGGCTTTCGTGACCAAGAGGACGATCTACGTACGGGTAAGTACACGTTCTCAGCAAACGGTCAAGGCAGACAGCTACCATAGTAGGCAAGATATACGTCAAAGCTCCTGTTAGCTCAAACATGATCACGACAACAGTTATCGTCAGCCTCATGACTCCACTGTCGATACGTTGTCAGTTAGAAAGAATGCCCAAATCACAAGAATTTACGTACCTGAGTGCCGCCGCAGCACCAAGGAAGGCATATGTTCCGGGAGTGATGCATTGCACATCAAGTTGGCATACGGCGAACATGCTCGACTGTGGATTTGCACTACCTTGCCCGTCCGTAAAGCTGTACTCTACGACGCAATCTTATGTACGCACCGATATAGAGCCTTCACGATGATACCAAGCATGCGTCCAAATGTGGCACCGATCGCCATGGAAGGCACGAAGATGCCCGCAGGGACTTTGCAGCCATACGAGACGGTGACAAGACCTATCCGCAATACAGTTGCGAGGAAGAGAGAATTGGCCATGGGCCATTGTACCGAAGTCCTGGGCATACAACTTTGACCCATAGTGTCCCGAGACCAATAAGACAGTACTCACTGGCATATGTTGTCGTAATCGCCTCCACCCTCGCACTCCCGGAAGAGGATCGACATACTCTCTGTCATGTCAATTCGGATGAACCGGTTGAAATAGCCGACCATAGCAGTGATAGTGGCTAAGGTGACTGCTTCGGCCACAGGATAGTTGGCAAGGTGCTTCCGCCGGAAAGCTGCCACTTGTAGGTTGAACTTCACCATGAATGCACCGTACAAGCCCTGGAGATTCATGTTAGATGGCGCAAGGACATTTTATCAACACCGTACATACCCCAAAGACGCCGATGATCACAAAGAATATGATCTCGAAGAAGTGCCAGTCGCGGTCATAGGTTACTTGAAACAATACTAGCTTCCCGCTCCGAAACGGATTCATAGCCTACAATATGTGGCCTGTTCAATGTGGATGCGAGGGCGCGATGAATAAGCTTACAGACAGCGTCACGGTCGCCATCAGAGCACAGAAAAAACTTCTCCACATGGTCTTGATGCTGAAGATGCTACTCATTTCCTACACAATAAAGTCAGAAATAAATCATGTTGCTAGCTAGCCTTACGGACCTCGATGGAGAACAAGACACCACCTATAGGTGAACCGAAAGCAACAGCGACTCCGGCTGCACTCGAGGCAGTCAAGATTTCCCTCATCTTGCCTACGCCTATGTAAGCGAAGGCTTTTCGTTAAGCATATACTCGCGTTCGCTCACCTTGGTTGCGTGAATACCTGCTGAAGAGGCCCGCGACGAGATTGCCTATACAGCATGCCATGTGCACCGAAGGGCCTTCTTTGCCTACTGACAATCCGGACGCAATTACTAGAGGCTAAGTCCCGTTAGAGTAGGGAGAATCATACGAACGTGGACACGCACAAGCGTCATGCTCTTGATGAAGAATGTTGAAAAGCCAAGGTACCCTTTCATAATGAAGCCACCAATGATGCACTTGATCTCCGAGATACCTGAGCCCGCTGCATATCTGGCTATGGCTCTCACTAGATGTGCAGCTGTGAAAGAAAACGTGCACTTGAGACGTGGGATAAAGGGAGGTCTTGCGAGCCAATTGCATGTGTACATACAGCAAATAGCACGTAAACAGTCCATCTCACAGGTAAGACTGCACCCCATGAATGCCACGAATCGCATGCCTCGTCACCGCCTTCGATCTCCCAGCAACAGAACTGACGGTTTAGCCACCATGCATCCGAGCAATAGCCCATTTTCAAGTCAGACAGCCAAGCAGTAACAATCGAGATGAGAGCAGCGTTGATCCCAATACACATGCCTATGCAGAAACGACATAGGTCGCGGAATGAAAGTCCAAAGGATTATAGCACTCACCAACCAGACTGACAACAAACCAACTCTGTCCTGCATCCACGATGCGCCATAGTCGAGACCACAGCCAGGCAATAATGGTTTCTTTGCGTGATCTGTAACCGAGATAGACCGACTGCAGCTTCTGGTTGGCCCTTAGGCGTCGATTCCGTTCTATAATGGCATCCTGGATCCAATCTAGCAGCCTAAGTCAAGAGAACGTTTCACTCATAACTGAGGTTGCCATCTTACCGATGGTGGTGAAGTCCTCATAGCTCCTGGGTGCGGAGTATAAGTAACAAGGTAATAGAGTACCATCCTAATGCTCACCTTATCTGCTCGAAGTATTCGTCGTCCTCATCTGGCAATGCATTTGTGCTATGGCTGAACTCCGCGGAGGCCCGTTCACGGGACATGTGGGGGCATCAACCTCGGATGAAGTCCCGCGTTCCTGTACACTCAGGTTTTTGTTTACGTTCCGTAAGCGTTTATCTCGGTCAGGTATACAGTCCGAGCAGGAAGTAACTGGCAACAAATGCTTGAGGTAGAGATGTTGAACAGGCTGGCGTGGACGCGTCGCATCACTAGCGCCAGATGCACCCAGATCTTTAGATTTGGTTTCAGTTTTTGACTAACAAACTAAAATTGAGTGCGCAAATTGCAAGAGAACTATAATGTAAGGTAGGGGAATGATGAATCTACACGGCGTAACAGTAGCTGTCATTACTTGAATAGACCGCCCGCACGGCAAGGGTACAGAAATGTTCAATCCTAAAACATAGGAGAATAGGTCCATCAACAGTGTCCGGACCGAGCAGAGCGATAGAGCAATATGACCAAGGACGTCGAAGATAGTTTATCTGCCATCATTTTGCTCGTCTCTGAAAAAGCCAATTGAGTGACAATGAGACACCTAAACACCGATTCTTACCTCCGACGACTGTTCTGGACACGAATGAACAACCAGTCAACAGCTGCGCGTACACCGGTGCTGCAGTGAAGACATCAACAAAATTCGCATTCAAGGATACGCTAACATACCCCTCTAGAGCTGAAATGCCCATGACATCCAGACTAGCGATGCGGTCCCTGCGTTGTTCGAGTTCCACCTCTTCTCCATATCGCCGCCGGGCTGCGTCCTGCTTGCTCCTATACCACTCCTCGTAGTTGGTACGTATCTCTTCTACAGACATGCTCTGCGGACTATCTTGTTTGTTGGCAAGTAGTAGCAGCGGGACACCGAGAATCTGCGGTGCTGACAGGACAGAATCTAGTCCCTTTCCGTGTCATTGGCACATCGTACTTGCTCGGACTTGAATGCATGCACGCACCGAAGACCTCCCATCCTTCACCCAGCCGTTCCCGGTCTTGCGCATCAATCACGAAGACGACGGCATGACAGTCATCGTAGTATCTATGCCAGATCGAGCGAATGCCTCTCTGGCCACCGAGGTCCCAGAATTGGAGAATTGTTGATGGCAAACTGATCTTTCCCACTGAGGGAACTGTTCAGCAAACATAGGCGACATGCCGGTGATGATCAGCGCGTACTGTTCTGCCCCACGGTAGGAGCTATCTTGTCGGGCGCGAGACCAGGAGTGTCATTATAAAGAGTCTTAATCTTCTCCAGCAACGTCTGAGTGGGGAAGAGGGTGTTAAGAAGCCAGCAATTGCATGAAACCGGGAGACTCGCACCGTCTTGCCAGCACCGTCAAGTCCAAGGATGATCACCGAGAACTCTTCCTTCCTGGATGAATCGGTTCAAGTTCTTCATCGCTAGACTTAGCCAGACAGACCTAATTAGAAACTCGTATAGTCCCTTGAGCAAATGGTACATGATAGCATAGCGAAGTCGTCAAGTATAGGTCAAACGACAAACACGCTCGCTATTGATGGCCTTCGCGAACTGCCGAGCGCGCGGAGCCGCCTATGTACGGCGAGCACCTAGCTTGGACCTGCCCTGCACCATGGGGCTTTACACTTCATACTACACGTATGGTCCACCGACCTTTCTCGTGGTGGTGGTCGCGCTATACCTCCTATTCACCGGTGAGGTTCAGTGCGTCAGCGTATAAGGCCGCGTCTCATGTGCACCGCGCGACTCGCTCAGGTTCCGGTGAGGCATTCAATGTCGGCCGCTTCCTGGAGGAGACAAGCCCATATGCCTGGGCATCGACAGGCATCGGCCTGTGCATTGGACTGAGTGTCCTTGGTGCGGGGTGGTAAGTCGCAGCTGCATCTCAAAAGCCACATTCAATGACGTTGTACGACGCCCTGACTTGCAGGGGCATATTCGTAACTGGAGCGTCGATTCTTGGTGGTGGTGTGAGGGCGCCGCGAATACGGACTAAGAACTTGATTAGGTATGTCTGCTTCCCCTCTTGCCAGACCGTCCGGAGGTGGCTGAGCATCCTCTTGCAGTATCATCTTCTGTGAAGTCGTCGCCATATACGGCGTGGTAGGTCTGCACTTGCGGATTGGATCTGCTTTCCTCACTTCCTAGTAGATCATCGGCATCGTCTACTCCGCCAAAATTACGAGCGTGCCTGAGTCGGATTTGTACACTCGGGAGAACTACTTCACAGGTAACAGGATGTCTGTAACCGCACTCCCTGCAGAGCGCTCACGCTCATCCACGAAGGTTACGCTCTCTTCTGGGGAGGCCTCACAGTAGGCGCATGCAACCTCCTTTGCGGCGTCTGCGTCGGAATTACAGGCTCAACCGCCGCGCTGGCCGATGCAGCTGACCCAGACTTGTTCGTGAAGATTCTCATCGTGGAGGTGTTCGGCAGTATCTTGGGTCTATTCGGACTGATTGGTACGTTTCAATCTTTCTCTTTCGTAAGATCATCAGGAATCTGATTAGATGATGATGGGATGCTAGTGGGTTTGCTCATGGTTGGCCAGACAGGAGAGTTTGCGGCTGCTTCCCCCCTTGCCGCGTCTGCACGCGCAGTTGCATCACCATATGTGCATTGACCAAGGCCGGAATTATGTGAGAGATTATCACACATCTGCCGCTGGTCGCGAAGATTCTCTTTGTCATCATAAATGCCATTCTTCTATTGCCCTCGGCGTTCTAGTAATGTAACGGACCCTGACCCAGTGCCGCGATCGTATAGCTATAGCACGGATGATATATTCAACCTATTGACAAGACCGCAGAAGGTGATAGGGATACAGTAGCATGTAGAGAAGAGAGTCTATCGATACAGTAGTAGTCGGAAATGACGGCGCTTGTTGGTTATGAGCGCTGATAACAGAACTAGGGTACGGATGCCCCTCAAAGAGATAAGCTGCATATCACAAGATATCATATATAATTGAATGAAAGGTCAACAGTGTTAGTTCGTGAATGCCCGTACGGCTGAACAACAACAGATGCGACCTCCACGGTGCAATCGTCATTCAAAAGGTCATGATCATCATCATCGTCATATCCATCATCGCTAAGAGGCGTAACAGATGAGCTCAATTCACTCGTGAAGGAGCTCAGCTGGGCTAAGGCCTCCTTGGTGAGCATGGGCCGCGTGCGCGCTCGGCGCGAGGTAAGGAGCGGCTGGGAGATCGACCGACGCAAGTCGGGGATGGGACGGAAAGGCAAGGTCGTAGGATTGGCAGGCATGCCTCGGGCGCCAGCCGAGACCATCCGGACAACGCTACGTTCGGGCAACGGAGATGGGACGTATGGATCTACCATGATAGCAGGAGACCGTTGACCGACTGAGACGGAAGACAGCGTCGACCCGGCCGCCGGAACTGAGCAGCAGGAAATCAGCTTCTCATCAAACAATGATTGAAGATGTAACACTTACCCTGAAGAGGCGTATCAAGGCCCCTTAGCGCTTCATCGAGCGTTTTGAGGAAGTTCGGAGATGACGAGAGGTCCTGCGAAGGCACCGAAGACTGAGGCGAGGAACGAGGGGTGGCCGGTCCCAACGACAATCCGGACACTTCCGAGTAGCCTGATTGCACGGAATGACGGTCATGGGAACCGAGATGAACAGGTGGGAGCTGCAACGACAGAGGATAACGATAGCAAGTTGGGCACTGAACAGAAGTTCGGAAGCACAGATTGCGACCGTCTAGGACTTGATGTCCACGAGGTGCAGCAGTACGCACAGCTCCTTCAGCTGAAAGAGGTACATCGGTCAGATCGGCTTCACGTGGTGAGGAGGAGCGTACATTGATAGTAACCAGAGAAGTCGTTTTCAACCGTAAGGGGGTCCCACGGGCAGTAGAGCGGCGGCTCGTCGAAGTAGTCGGTAATAGCCGACTGCGGCATCTCTGGCCCGGACAGCCTCTCCTGGCATGCGTACATAGACGACAATTCTGAATCCGTCGGAGAATTGCAAAGTTCAGGAACCGCGTGGTCAATGCTGCCGCTTTGACTCCGCCCCTGGCATGGAGACTCGATGTGCTCCCTTTCAATGTCAACTGTCAAGCAAGCGAATTTGAGCATGCGTGAACTATCCTCGCAGATATCCGTAAACCGCGCTCACCGGCATGACCAATACGAGGAGAAGTCGTACCTGGGACACGGGATTCCTGATCCAAATGCTCGGATTGAGTTTGAACTGCCTCGAGGCTGGTCTGAGACCGCCGAACAACCTCCTAGAGAGACCATGATGAACTTCAGCTTGAGACATGGAATGGCTCTCGGGGTGCAACTCACCCTAACCTCCGTGTAGAGAGACTTTGCACGGGATTTGTAGTGGGAAGCTCTCGATACAATATCGAAGCTCAGTCTCTCGGGAGACTGCGCAAAGTCTGACAATTCCTCCCTCTCCACGACGAGCCTTTCGGATGTGAAGTGTTCAGAAGCGCAAGCTAAGCGATGAGCGCAGGCGACTTACCCGTCGTGCATCGTCTGCAAGTGCCACATATCCGCGCCAGAGAGCACCTCTTGCGAGCGACGGAGATGCATGGTAGCAGCCGCTCTATATTCGTCGCCTCGACTCAGCGACTCCTGGAATGTTGCTTTCCAGAATTGTCGCAGCTCATCGAGGCGCGCCTCAAGAGGTGATTCGGTGGACGAGGAGGAACGACGACGACGAAGGAAGGTTGACAAGTACTTCTTCAGAGCCATGTCTGGTGAAGGAGTCTAAGAAACGAGCGAGCCGGGAGAGCGCTCCCTTATAGATGTGTGATTGGACATCATGATGTCTCGGGATGCTTCTTATAGAGCACGACTTCCAACTGAGCTGGTGGCTCAGCACTAGGACGCCACTTCACCGACGGTCGACATGCTGGAGCACATAGATACCGGCAATCGAAAGTACAATAGCAGAGGCATGCAGACCGCTGGCATCGGTATCTCGGGTGACCAGATGTAGGTGATTGTGGGTCCTCGCCCTCGACCATACCGATGGGGACGCGTTCTGCTTCCGCGTTCCCGGATAAACCATTTGCGTGTGCGCTATGTCTGGAAGAGACACAGCTGGGCAAACCACGGGACGGTCCCGAGAGAGGACAAGGATAAGCAGAAAAGGTAACCTCAATCAATTCCTCGGCTGCCGTTTCAGGCTAGCTGAGAAACGCCACGTGGCCCCGCTACCGGAGCAGCATCCGACGCATGTCTGTGCATCGACGGCTTTTTGCAGAGTCGTCTAGGTTTCAGAGTGCATGTTGTCTAGCTGCCCGCTCTCTCGACTTAGGTTGCGCGCGAGCCGGACTGCAGTGGCCGAAAGTTTCATGCGCACAATGGGCGGGTGAGACATTTGCGGAGAGTGCCGGTGCCGCTGCGCGCAGTGTGATCAGTCGCGCAGTGCACCGCAAACGAGTCAACGACCGACTCTAGCATCCCTCAGTCACCTATACCGACCGCCTCGTGTCCACTTTGATTGTTACTGCTACCGCTGCTGCTGCTATGTCTACAAGCGACGACCCGTCAAACCAGGCGCACCTGCAGGAGGGTGGTGCAGTGCACCATGAGGCACACGGTATGCCGTGCACCAATCGCACTTTGCGGTCATGCACTAATCTACCGCCCATCACGTCGTAGAGGAGTTGCACAACGTCGGAAATGAAGGAACAGACGCACTCGATCTGAGTGCTCCCGGACAAGACGAGGAAACCCCTTCTCTGCCTCCGCGACCTGAATCTGAAACTGCATCCATCCCACCGAATATGCATGAACGCGTCTCTGCGCCAGCACTGCAGGAGGAGAACGAATCCCCGGAGGTTGCTGCATTGCGCGCCATGTTTCCTGACTTTGACGCAGCTGTCCTGTATGTCGTGCCTCCGATTTCTTGCAACGCGGTAGCATACTCGATCTAGTCATTGCTGACTTCCCCGCTTCATACTTCCAGGCAGTCCGTTCTCGAGTCCGTGGGCGGTGACCAGGAACGCGCGATCGATGTCTTGTTAGGCATGAGCGACCCGGATTACGTCTCGACTGCAGCCCCCGCCCCCGTATGTCCCGCCTTGTTTCAGCGCGCCACATGCCCGAGGTACTAATCGTTGCCTTGGGCATCCGCAGGTGCACCACGACTTGGCGCTAGATGAGCAGCTCGCCCGCCAATTGGCGTTGGAGGACCAGCAACAGGCACCGCGTGCCAGGGGACAGTCGTGGCCTCACCGAGGAGACCTCCCATATCAGCCTAGACAGGGCACTCCGTCTCACCCGCAACAACAGCTGAATGCCACTGGAACTGAACATGGAGACTTTCAGGAACTGCAGGCGACGCTCGGTCGGATGGCGGAAAGTGAGTGTTCTCCCGTTAGCTTACGTAGAGCGGGCACTCGGCACACGGCAGGCATGCCCTTCCATTTAACTATCCCGGTCTTCGCGTCTTCCTATTCGCAGAAGCATGCTAGTCGCTGACTTCTCTGTCATACGTGATCTTAGGTGGGAAACGCACGTTCAGTTCGATTGTCTCGAAGGCAAAGGCGAAGATCAACGAATATAACCAACAGCAGAATCAGCAACGGTGAGTTGTTACGTATCTACGTGGAGACCAGAAATCGCTGATCATCACTAAACCTAATTCGACCTTTTGGATTCATCCCCTCCTACGATTAGTTCTGGACAGCCCTCCACTTCACCTCAGAACCCGCAATGGGGTGCAACATCTCCCGCACCGCTCGATCGGCACACAGCGACCGAGGCCTATAATCAGGATTACTATGCTAAGGCACGCGAGGATTCTCGCACGCCACCGCCAATATCATTGCGCGACAACAGCAGCTACGGGCTGACGCGGGATTATGTCAAGGGCTACGATGCAGCCTCGAGTGAGTCGATGGATCATGCGCTCACGACGCAAGTCGCTGAGGCAATGCGCCGTAGGTGAACCGATTGCGCCCACATCGACACCTCCTCCCGCAGCCGCGGGCGCTCGCCCATCGAGCCCTCCCGCTGCTGTCAACCGGCCGTCCATCTCATCTCAGCCTCCGTCGGGCGAGACGCCGCGCCCGCCGTCCACATCAAGTGCAAGTCCTATCAATGCGGGTACGTGTTTCGATACTATTCCGAGGTTCTCTACTATCATTCGGCCGCATGCTCATGTTCTTTCGGTCGCTTGATAGCGAAATTGGGCTTGCTTCCCAAGCGACCCGTTTCTCTCCTGACCCCGCAGCAGCCTACGATACCGCGGCGTCAAGATAGCGAGGATGAGCTGGAGTTTGTGGAGAACCCGTTTGAAGAGGGGTCGCGGCATTAGCAAATGTCGCAGATCAGAGGACGAGGGCAGCCACGGAGGATTGTATGTGTGTAAGGTTATATATTTCCAGTGTACTTGAGAACTACTGAATACAGATGTATTGTTGTCGCCGTGTTCGCCCCTTCGCATGGTTATGAAGGTCCCTACGACATAAGCGCTTGACTCTTGAAAGTTGGTGGTAATGAGTTCTCTTCTGGTATCAGCTAGGGATATGTAATGACATCGAAAAGCGACTGAGCAACATGAATGTGATCCCATAGCCTTCGCATGACCCACCATAGACAGACAACACAGAGTGTAATCCAATATTCTCCATCCCGCATCATTCCTCCTCGCCATTCACCTGCATAACAAAAGCATCAGTACATACACATGTTGACGCTATTTGATAGCATGCGTACCAGTCTCACAGAGTCCATTTGCAGATCTTGCAGTATCGTTGATGAGCAGGTGAAGGATACCAAGTTCCTCTCGAACCACTCCCTCAGCGACTGTGTCATATCCCCAGAGATCCGTATATGCACTTCTCGAAGTGTGGCACCAAATGTATCAATATTACCATGTTTCCTCCGAGCTCTCATCCACGAACGTGTCTTGACGAAATTGCACAAAGCTTCTATTGAGGCATTGTCGATGGGATACTGTCCCAGGTGGAGCGAAGAGTGAATCTCCAGTCGATATAATGAAGGATAGAGATATGTGCCATTCTGCTTTTGCCTCAAAATTCGCATCAAGTACATGAGGTTCCAATCTCCGCCGATTTCGAACTCTATAACTGGTGCGTATCTTGACAATTCGGCATACCCGATAATTGGCTCGATTTGATAGCGTATGTCGAAGTACATCGTGCGCAACGATGGGAACCGCACATTGAATGTGCCAATGCCCCGCGTCCCCACCTTGGAACAAGATGAAATTGCGATAGTCATCAAACTTGGAGCCCGAAATATGGCCAGCCATTCAGTGATCGCTGACTTCCCGGATGATGTGATGGTGAACTCTCTGAGGGATGACAAACAAATCGGGGAGCTGGGATCAAACTGCGTCGTGGGAGAGTCTCCGCCACCATCGCTGACGAGCTGGAGAACTTGCAGCTTGGGTAGGTGTGCCAGTGCTCTCAATATCTCGACGCGGCTTTCCCTTCGATGATGTGGGGAATCGAGAAGGAGGGATTCGAGTGAAAGGAATGAATGGCTTAAATCCGTCGGCGTGAAGATCCTGTTGACGTAGCGACCAAGGGTCAAGTCGTGCACTCTTGGCGCCACAAAATTGTGAACACTGATCGAAATCTCGTGGTCTCCTCCGGTAATCCCATCACTTTGGAAGTTGCACTGAAGAAAGCGTAGGTAAGGCAAGGTTCCCTGTAATTTCAGATCCATGCCTTCCGACCTGTGAGGATCGTAGAAGTAGTCGAGATCGAAAGATCTCCACCGCTCTTGATGCTCCCACACCAATTCGATAACTTTACACCAGTATGCATGACCGGGCCTTCTTGAGTGTCCATCTATCCGCAAATAGATGTCAATAGGCTGTCGACGTGATAGAGCGAGAACTGTTGATATTGCTGAGAGTGGCGGTAGGTATTGATTGAGAAACAATTTTATCTCCGTCCACAGTTCCGCGGTATCTAGCGCAATAGCTCGCCAAGTGTGACACACCATTGTGAGATTAGTTGCTCGAAGCAGGCTCTGAGCATTTCCAGGGATGTCCACATATTCGGAGAATACGAGTCGGAGGACGTCGGCAGGGATGTGGCGGATGGATACAGCGTCCTGGTCGGATGCTTGAAGCGAATGCTCTAACTTCTCCATTAAGTGTCTCGACCGTTTCAGCTCAGTGACTTTCGAAGGCTGATATTTTTTGATCTCGCGATGCTATAAATAACATATATGTGGCGAGTCAATGTGGCCCGCATAAGGTGCTCACCGTCAGGTTGGTCGATTGTGCCAGGGGTAGCGCGCTCTCCGAGGGAACGAGTGCAATGCTGATGTCGGTCGAGGAGAATAGGCGTGACGTGGAGGCACAAGCAGTGCTGAGAGGCGGTCCTCCTATCTCGATTAACGCTCAACGCTCAATAGTACGTGAGCCTGCAGCTGAGATGGTCTACGCCGTACGCCGCATCAACGCTGCGAAAGTCGAAGAGAACCAAATTCATGATCAATTATAATCGTTAAGCAAGCGCCTACTAAGCACCTCGCCAGTGTCACGCATTCGCTCCGCCATATCGCCATCGGTCGAAGCAATGCAATACTTACTCTAGCCGACTTCTGGATGACCCTGCCGGCCACTCGAAAAGCGTTGATGCGAGCAGCGCCAAGATGCCAAGGTGAAGACGAGCGGAAAAACACGTCATCGTGCAAATTCCCATCCCTGCACGATATCACGGAGCAAGCAGCCTTGCTCTGTCCAGGAAGCTCCCTTCTCAACCACGATCGTACAGACGTTCACTGTCTGACGTCTATCCAGCGACAACGTCCGCAACTCAGTGACTTCGCTCTGTTATTATAACGAAGGTGATGACGAGGCTGCCAAATCACGTTCTTGTAAGCTGACCGTGCTCTCAGGAGTGACTTCCGCCGGACTTCTGTTTTGGACAACGAAACGAACTTGGAGCAAGTGCTACGCAGTATCCAGTAACGGTGAATATGGAGGACAGGTCAGTCTGCAACTACTTAGCATTCGAGGCATAGTTAGTGCACTGATCACATGCTACGCTTGACATATCCACCTCTTGCAGCCATGCACAAGCGTCAGGCTGTGATGGGTCTCTGCGCTCAACGAAAATGATATCCCTCGAAACGCCCGTTCATCGCTTGCCGCCGGAGATAACGACAAATATTTTCTGCCTAGTCAGAGGCAACCCGGTTCTCCAACAGCGGTCCGAATCCGTATTCTCAGTCATCTGCCTGACGCACGTATGCGTTCAATGGCGGTCAATTGCACTTTTGACCCCAACCTTATGGACTGTCGTGAACATCGATCGATGGGATAGAGCCTTGCTGAGCTGGCTGCCGGCGTTCTTGGCGCGTTCAAGCATAGCGCCCCTTGACGTCCAAATCAACTGCTCACCGGTCAAGTCCAAACATATCCTACTGCGCGCGATCGATCTGCTCGTTCCAGAGACAAGTCGCATCACACATCTACGTCTGAGTGGATGGAGTATGATTCGAGGCTCAGCTCACAGCAAGAGATTTATGATGGTCAGCGGGGAGCTCTGGTCTGGTTTGAGAAAGTTTTCCGAACTACAAGAACTTGATCTTGGTGAATGGAGAGACTTCCCCGTGTTTCCTCGACGCTTTCCTCTGTTGCATGTCCTCCACACAGAGTGGAACAATCTTCGCTGGACTTCTGCGCTCCTACACTTGTCACATCTTTCGCTTGGGCCAGGGGAGGTGTACATATATCCCATCAGAGATCTACTCGCGAAACTGGAATGCTGCCACAATTTGGAGTCGTTGCACATACCGAGGCTAAGTTGCAATGACAGGATGGGAGATCCTGAACCTATTCATGTCCTACAGCTCAACAACTTGCACACGTTGGCCCTCCATGGATGTTGTACCCCTGTCGTCGTTGATTTCATCGTCCAGCTGTCTCTTCCATGACTCAGACATTGTGAAATATACACTGATCTTAACGTGTGCTTCATCATCGCTACGCGTCCCAGGGCCTGCTATGACATCCTGTACCACCTGAAGTCAAGTTGCATCAATGTTCAAAGCCTCGATTTGATTTTCCACCCCCTTTCTTGGCATCTGAAGGCATACAACCATCAAAATGACCCACGTACCACATCCCAGCACCCCGTGATAGATATTGATCTGTCATGTATGACGGATCGATGGTCATGTTCTACCGTTTGGATGGCTTGCGTGGAAGTGTTCTACAAGTCACCTATCCGAGAACTTCACCTTTCTTGCAGCCCAGAAGGTTTCACCAACGATGACTGGAGGATCGCATTTACTCGATTACCAGAGCTACAGCGCGTCCACGTCAGTTACATCACTGAAGAAGTCCTCTTCATTCTCGGTACCGCTCTTACGGCCGATCTAGGAAATATTCCTTGGCCAGCGCTCAAGACCTTATCCCTTGACATTCGTGATGGCGACCTCGACGTAAAGATCACAGTGTCCGATCTCCTGCAGTTTCTGGAGGCGCGCGCTGCGGTCGGTTGTCCTTTACAGATGCTTGTTTTGTGGTTTGACATGCGGTCCGCGAAGCATGGAAGAGAATGGGTAGAAGAATTGCGGAACGTTTTGGGGAATCATCCTGATCGAAAGACTGTGATACGTCTTCTGTAGCGACGGTGTGGTCTCGATACCAGTGTGTCTGAAATATCCTTCATTCACTGTACGCATGTCGTTCAATGCGAATGTGATCGCTCAGCTTACGGTCAGACGTACTTCAAACAAGTGTGGATTGACCCTTGTTCCTGCGGGTAGAGTGCAGGATAGTTTTTAGCGACGAATGTATTGAATATCATAGTAAAATACATGGACTTCAACTGGAAAGAGCTACGACGTGCATATCGAGAGAGTACCAGTTCGGCACGCCAACTGGATGTTGTGCCGCAGCATCTCGCGGTGCGCAATGCGAAGAGCTTCAAGACTCCTAAAGGTTGACCTGTGGAGCGCTTCCAATTTCGACCACTGGAAGTTATATACACTGTAGGCGACGACTTTTAAATTAATAGCGCAACGAGAGGACCGTTATTCATTGAGTGGAGGGATTTGGAGATGTACAAGTCAGCAGATGCAGTAATAAGCTAGCTCACTTTCGATGCATTCTGAGACCAGTTCCGAGTCGCCTTGCAGACACAGACACTGTCCTACTACTATCAGAATTCAGTCATATATTTCGCACTTTATGACTGAGTTCATAATGCCTTGAGCCGTGGCTCTTGCAGCGCCATCGGGCTAGGACCCAGGCTCCTCCACAGCCTTACTTCGGGAGTTTGGGGGGTCTGAATACTAAGGGCAGGTAGGACTGTGCCACATCTCAGCCACCCTTCAGCCACATTTTCATACTCCGACTCATTTCAAACTCCACAATCTTAATCGCCCCCCACTCCCTACGACGGCTGCAACAAATCATGTGTAAACAACGGAGCACAGGAGTGAGCCTTCCCAATTGAGCAACCCCATTTATTATTATATAGGCGCCCACTCTCGTAATTTCTTTGGACGTCATTACTAACATTGGCTCTCTAATGCAACTTTTTGACCTTTTAAGTTCCTGTGGTCTATAAAGTCATCAGATTGACTCCGGAGCGATTTCAATGAATAGCTATGCTTCTAATGTATCTTCTGAATTTTTTTCACACTGCAATCTTGCGATGTTCATGATACAGGAAGGCAACAAGGACTGCAACAGTGTCACGGCGCATTAGATCCTGTGCCCTAAGGCAAGGAAATGGCAGCAAGGTGCTTGCCAGCGTCCAGTGACCTGCACAAAAAAGGGGTATGCCCAGGAAGGGTCAAACCAGGCATGCAGTGACATGCAGCCTAAAAAAGGGGCTCAAAGGGCCCTTAGCCTTATGCTCACAACAAGGGGTGAATTGGCTTGTTAGGCCGCATATAATAGGTGAATGAATTTAAGGTCTTCCCTTAGATCCTCATGTGCTTATATACATGTGGTGGTGGACCCTGGGTACCCTAACTATGGTGTACTTACTGGGGTCCTGTCCTGTCTACATGTGAGCATATTGCCAAAACCAGTAATGGTTCTGGACTTTGCTATAGCAACTATCTATAAAGGCCATGGATACGCCAAGGTAATCCTACTTTACCCAATGAGATAATTGCCTGAAGGTGGTGTCACTATTTGAGTAGCTGAAGTGGTGCCACTTATTGAGTGGCTAATGGGGGTTCTGCCATAGCGCATATTCTAATGCTGGTGCTACTATTTGGCAGCCATGTAGTTGATGCTGCTATTGAGCAGTGAATTGGGTGCTTGCTAGCTTGATGGTCTAATGAGCACGGGTAAGCCTATTGTGGGCCAAAGAGTTCCATTCTGGGCAAGTGGCCTGGTGTCACGTGACCAACACCTGATAACTTCTGAATAGCGCAAGTGGCCAGTGTCACGTGACTGGGTGGCTGAATCATGGGCGCTTGGTGGTCATGTGGTAGACACAGTCATATTCGCAATGTATGTGATGGTATTGTGCTGTTTATCTAAGTATTCACTTTGTGAGACCAATATGAAGGTTGGCGTCCGAATAACCACTCAAATGAGAACTTTTAATGGTGTAAAAAGAAAGGTGCCACTTAATACTGTGACAAACAGCATCAGCAAAAGTGTCGAAATTGCGTGAGGTCCTTGCAAGTGCTGGTGACCCTCATAAGCATGCGCAAGGCTTGCAGGTTACTTGCAAGGTGACTGCAAGGCTTGTTCTGACATTGTGAGAGGGCCACGAGCCTGGTGATTTTTCACCAGGCTTGTGCAACACTGGTGCTATGCGAACGAGCCTTGTTTTATCTTATAAGGGTCATATATGTCTGCCAAAGCTCTTGTAGAGTTAACCACCAGTCTCGGAGGGAGCTAGAAATTATTGACGCACTCTGAGGCCCTTCTATCAGCGGGTGAAGGTCCACAAACGATCTCATAGAGTATCTACTATAAATTATTGAATCAATATACATTTGTATCTGTCCTCTCACAAACCAGCCAGGCAGGGATCAAGGAATACCCTCATTGGCTATGCAGCTCAGCGAGTACCAATCCCGCATTCTAAGGTTGATATTGTCAGCATGAAGTTCAGGACCAGGACGAGGAACAAGCGCCGGGCCGAACACTTGCTTACTAAGCAGGTGGGCGAAGAAGAGACGCGCTCATCTGATATACGCGCTGTGTCTCTTCTCCTCGCCATGATCTCACTACCCGCTTGTCTCACAGATTCTTTGTTTCGAGCTGTTCTTCGCTGTTTTTTATCGTTCCTCATTTTATTACACCCATACTATACCTGAGAGTACCTCGACCCAGGAGCAAGGCTGCAGGGCACTGGAGGAAAGTCTGCTCAAGGCTGCACTCCAGCAGCAACTATCGAACATGTAAATGAGGAGCTCGCTACACTCAACACATCCAGAGTGAATGGACGTGCACTTGGCGGTGAGACTGTTTCAGAAGATGAGTATTTCTTCAACTATGAGGACAACGAACTTCTTGCCAGCACTGAGTTGACAGAGAATGCCGCTGAGATCCCTACCGTGAACCTTGCTAATGCAGCCCGGCTTACGGGATTGATTCATGGCATGTTTTTTCATCCTTGCGAGAGGCTTTCTTGAAGGTCATGCAGGTGCTTACCAGCACGCATATATCCACTTAAGAAGTCAACAACATGTTGAGCTCGTCAAGCAGGAGCTTTTTCTCTATGGCATGAACATTCTTCTGACTTAGTTGGGGATCATGGCTTGAAGATCCAACTGACCTCCCTCAAACTCGCTTCAATGCCAATCCATATCCTATTTTCAATCACAACGTCCGAAGAATGCCCCCCGTGCTGGCAACGACTGCACCCACACTGCTGTCCTGTCTCATATGCACGTGGATGGGCTACTGACATTACATACACACACATACAGTCATCTGCAGTGGCCGACCATCCTTATGTGTCCTTGTTGATGGGTGCCCTCGTTAATGCTGACCACCAAACTTGTGCATCCTTTGGAACCTCGCTGGCCATTGAGGTGTGCATCATCGGCCCAAAGGAAACTCTCACCATTGTTGTTTTTCTGTGAGTCCACCGGGCCTTCATCGGACATCCAGCACACATGTGTTTGTGAATGTATCTTGATGCCATATAATGCAGCTGCTTTCTGGACTGTTCTGTGACATCATTCCCTTCTTAACCCATCATTGAGAATGCCAGCCCACCCAGCAAAGTTCACGTTGTGCAGAACTCTTGCTGCAAAGATGAGGCAGCCCAGGTCACTGAAGTTGTGAGTCCTTCATCTACGGAAAACATCAGAACATATTGCATGTTGTTTTAACTTCGTCCGTTGATGTGTTTCTCTACCTCGTTCATCGAACCGTCTCTTCGAATCATCTGTTAGAGTGTTTTCTCTCACTCATTCATTGGGAGCAGGCCATCCCTTTCATATCATGGAGTGCACGTCCATCCCTCATTATCTATCAGAGCATTTCTCCGTGTCGTCCATTTACAGGTGCGTACGTTCAGGATCGTAGGAGCATTTCTCCTCCCATCTTGCAGGTGCATACCTTCAGGATCATCAGAGCATTTCACCTCCCTTTTTTCAGCATATGTTCAGCATCATTCATTCAGAGGTGCATGCCTTCAGAATCACTGAGGCTTTTCTCCTCCCATTTATGCGTATGTTCTGCATCATCCATTTATAGGCGTGTGTCTTGGGGTCGTTGGAGCATTTCTTTTCCCATTTCAGCATGTGCTCTGCATCGTCCCTTCATAGACACATGCCTTTGGGGTCATCAGAGCTCGTCCAGCACTTGATGATGCACCTCTCATGTATTATTATTGCACCATGTATTGCCTGCTATAGTAAATATTAATATACAAACACTATTAACAATGGTCTTGCAAGCCTGAGAATTGTAATATAAGGCCCTGCAAGCCTGGCCATTCTCCCAA